TTCTTATTTGTAGAGAAATCGAGCGCATAGCGGAGAGTGCAAGTGGGAAAGAGTGGAACAGGGCGTACAGTGAGCAGAGAAGAGTGTAAATGAATGGAGAGTGGGAATGTAAGGGCAGGCAGCTGAAAGTGGGGGCGTTGCGCTGGCGGATGCTGTCAAGATTCTCTGATAAAAATCAATGCAAAATAAATTAAACAGTCAGCGTGAGGGGCGGCAGAGGGCGGCTGTTGCTGGCTGGAATTATAAGCAACACCAGCAGAAGCGGGTAGAGAGAAAGTAAAAGCATGGCATATTTGTTGCTGAGCATTATTAAGTTAAGCAAGGGGAAGAGAGAGACAGAAGACCTCTTTTTTTTCGCTTCCATTGTTTTTGTAGAGAGACTTACGGAGCAAAGTGCACAGTTAGGTTGTCAAGCCACACTCTCACTCTCTCTCACTCCAGCACTTGGTATGCGGCTAATTTACTCTTTTGTCTACCTAGCTCTCACTCTCTCACTCTTTCAATTGCGATAAATTTCACTGACAATTGCTTTTTTGTTTGTTCGTGAATGACGTATTTTAGCATTTTATGACAATTTTATAACAGTACCACACAAGAAAGACACTTTTCGAAACAATTTAGAAGCTATAAATTAAATTATAGACAAATTCGCTTGGGCTGTTTCAAAGCGAAAACTTCCATATCGAAGAGTTCAAACGCAATAGCAGCAACAGCAGCTGGCAAGGCGGCAAAACTCACCCACATACGGAAATTGCTAGCAAATATTAAATATGTATAGAACTTTAAAACTAAACGTCGGCCTTCGACCCGTCCGCGGAAAATTCAATAAAATATAAAACAACGTTCCAGCTTGGTTTCAGGAAATTACGGTACCCACACTGCTGCCGCTGGCGCTGCTTTGGTCTTGAAACAGCTGACGATGCGTCATTCAGACAAGTACCCACACAATCATCCACATGGGACCCAGAAGAGCGAAAGAAACAGAGGTAAAGTGTAGAGAGCGCCATAAACACGCACTTGCAACACAGCCATGGTCAATTAACTAGGATCAGAGTCACGAGTTGCCAAGAAGAATTCATATGCCTAATCTTAGGTCAGCACGTACCACCAATATGATTATCCGAATTCAGTGTAGTACTTTATCATTTATTAATGATTCTGTTGGTTTACTAAAATGATTGGTCAAATAACATATTCTATACTCACACACAGAATTGTATGTCAGCAAATAAAACTAAATTATTGGTTTGGAAATTTTCTGGAAAATTGATTAAAATCAGAGACCTAATTGTGTGCCCTTGGCTGTTGGATTGTCTCAGTTTAAAGTCAACAAGTGCAATTTTCTCACAGTAAGCATAACGGACCTCCATGAAAAGGAGAATAGGAATACACTTGGCAGCCAACACACAACAAACATACGGTATATATGTATACACTGTAGGTGATGGGGAGAGTATGATAAATCAATTCTCTCTTTGTCCCCCGGCAGCATTCTCAATTACACAAAATGCTAATTAAGCGAAATAAGACACAAATATAAACAAAATAGAAATTGAGAAAAAATGTGGATGCGATTTTGTTTACATTTCGGCTCCAAGGAAAATATTGTGTGAAGAAAGCCATCCAGCCTCAGGGAACGAGTGGGGGGGGGGGTCGGTGACTGGCACGATAAGAAACGGATTGCAGATAAATACACACAAGCACACACACACATGCACCGTAATTAAGACGCAAAACCAAGCTGAACAAAGAACAAGCAACAAGCAATTTTCATTGCCTGGAGAGGGAAAGAGTACATATTATTCGATAGATAATGAGACCCCGGTTCAGCTTAATGCGTCTCCTGCACCTGGGCTGCACTGGCTTTAATGTTGCGAAAATAGGAAACCTGATTTATTGCGCTATTGTCAACCACTGTGCACGCTGCAGTTGGAGCAGCAGCCGCCTATAGTGCCATCTCGCTTCGCCACACACGCTCGAATAAAACGCACCCAAAAATTCATGGCCATCTATCTCCCTCGCTCGCTCTCATTGCTTTCAGCGGACACAGTCTCTCAGCTCGGCTATGCTATCGATGACGATAATAATGGTGGAAAAAATTTTTACACAACTTTCTTAATTAATGGCAAAACAACAACGCAATATTGGGCTCCAACACTTGATTCTCATATTGTTACGCACATTGATTTTGCGAGAATCGATTTTTGCACACTTATTCCTGCTCTTTTCAGCAGCCACTTTGTTTTTAGACAGATAATTTGCGTTTCTCCGAAACGAAATCCTCTCTTTCTCCACCCAGTCCCCAACAAACACACGCAGACAGAGACGGAAAACGATTGACTTTTGAGTTCTTGTTTTTGACAATTTCGCAGGCGACGTCACGAATGTCCAGCGTTACTTGCACTTTTCGTGTATCCCAAGTGCAGCTTGTGGTTTTCGTTGCGTTTTTCACTGTGTTTGCAATTAGTTGGCCCAGGTTATTGCTAAAACTTACAACTTTCTATCTATTTTTTATCCACGAACATCGAACATAGAGGTATCAAACCAAAGAGGGCACTATCGATAGTATCGATATTTTACTGCTAGCCTCTACTATCGACGGTTTTGCAACTATCATGATAGTATCGAGCTACAGTCGTTGCGCTTTTGATATGTTTGGATTGGCTGCTATAAAATACGGAAGGCACATTTGTAAACAAATCGACAGGTGGCATCTAATTTTTATAAGGGAGAAGTTCCTGAAAGGTTTCAATGGTTTTTTAATAATTATTTGAGCCCGATACTATTACGATAGGATCGATTGTTTTTTTCAAAACATTCAACGTTGATATTCCTCGAATTTGATATTCCGTTTAATATTACTAGCTAGTTTGCCCTCTCAGCCCTAAAAAAATGATTTTTTCCGATAGATACCTTAATTTTCTACAAGATTGGCAAGCTTTCAGAAGTCCTTTTTATTGCATTGTTTACATAAAAAGGTTCAAACAAAAACGGCCAAAGCATAAAACGTAAATGTTGACAAAATGTGACGTCGGTGTTGCTGGTCAACCAAGTTTCTTCTATGCGTATGTACTTTTGTATACCTTATTTCTTTTAATTGATGTTAAATGTTTTGTTCCAAGCTCCATTGAAACATTATTTATGATTTTATCCTAGATTGACATGTTTTTTTACCTATAGATGCACATATTTGTGTTTTATAAATACATATATCCCGGTTCTGATACCTATTATTGGTACCCGTGAGCTGCAAAATTTCGTTTATATCTTTAAAACAGAGTCTGAGTAGTTTCTGCATTAATTGGAGCCTGAAATTACAAACAATATCTCTATTCTATAACATCAATTTTCCCAAGGTATGCAGATTGTCGCACAACAATGCTGCTACTTCATTTCCCAATGTTGCTGAAAATTTTCCCATACAAATCAAATGTATCTTACGGCGTTCCCGTTAAGAACATGTGGCTCACACCACGAAAAAGAGAGCAAATTTTGAAATGAGTTTGGCGGTCATTTTGAAAAGTAAATATATGGATAAATAAATATTTCACTTGATTTGTTTTGTCGAGAGTGACAGGAACCTCAGAAACGTAATTTTCAAAATATGCCGTAAATATACTAAGGAAACGAACTAAGCCCACTGAATCCCCCCTCTATTAAAAAAGGTGAACGACTTGTGTATAACCGCGGAAAATAAAGCTGTTTTTAAATTCTTCTTTTAGATCCATTCTTCCTCTTTACGTGCACACAAAATTAACACGATTTTACCACCACCTGGAATGCGGTAAAAATGTTCAAGTTTCATAATTTTCTGGAGACCTCATGGGTCGACTATGGGCCAACGGTCCTTTCGAAATCATATTCCTTGATTTTGAAATTAGATTTAACATTACTATTTAGCTTTGGCCCTTAGCGCTAAATATATAGTTTTTTCCGATTGATAAATAAATTGTATGCAAGATTGATCTATTTTAAGGAATCCCCTTTTTTATTTGATTTTTTAGAAAATAAGGATTAAACAGAAGAGATTAAATATATATAGCATAGAAATGAAACGCAAGTAGGAAAAAACCGTTACGTCACTTGAACACTTGTTGCATGTCAACCGGTAGTACGGACATTTGTATACCCTATTTCATTTAATTAATGTTAAAATTCAGTTTTCCAAGCTGCTTTTAAGCATTTATAATGACATTTCTTAGATTGACATGTTTCTATTATACATATGTTTTCTGTATATATTCTCGATACATATTCTCCGTACCTGTAATCTGAAAAATTGTGGTTAAGATAACTTCAAAACAGAGACTGAGTTGTTTCCGCATTTTTGGAGCCTGGGATGACAAACATCTCCTCAACTCTATTATGTCCATTTTCCCAAGGGTATTTTATTAGTCCAAATTGTTGCGGGAAATGTTGCAAGTGTTGGATTAATGTTGTAAACATTTTTTCCATACAACTTTTTATCCATGAACATCGGACAACACTGACGGACAACTATCGATGATGTGAAATATCGGGCGACATAACATATGGATTTTGATTTTAGAGATGTGCCAATACCGTGATTTTAGAACAGAATGTATCAAGAATATGAATCAGAAGCAAGATATATATATATAACGTAATCCCTAAATTTAACATTAATTTAAGGAATTTTACTATACAGTGTCATACTCCACAGAAAAGTAGTTGATATGTAACAAATGTGTAGTTAGTTAGCATGTACAAAGAGACACATTTTTGTTGAGCTTTTTTTATTAAGCCTTATTTTATGAACAATTCATTCAATGGTAGTCCTTAAAATAGGGTTGGTTGTAGAGAATTGATTTATCAATCGGATAAAATTATTTGTTCTATGGTGAAACTCCTTTAAATATTAAACCGGATACCCGAATATCAAAGTTAAGGAATATGATCTTCATTGGTATATTTACGGTATATCATGAAAATAAGAAGGTACATTTCGGTATATTTTCGACGGTATATTTGACCGATAAATGCGCGGTAACACTGGTTCGCAGCAATAACAAGTGAAAACGTAAGAAAAAAGTGAGAAAAACTGCAAGAGCAGAACATCTTTCTGCTCGCATAAAACATAAAAAGTGAAAAAAGTTAGTTACAATGTGAAATTATAAATTATAAACACTGCCGCGTCCTATAAAAATCTGAGATCGCACTCTCACACACACCAACACACAACTCGTACGATTGCCAATCGCTGCTGCGCCTCCTTCCACGCACACACACAGACACACAGTTGCGCCTTTCGTCATCTCTCTCTCTCTGTCTCTCACATCGTCGCAACGTCGCAAATTCCAGAAAGGAGCCACAAAAAAACCAACAAATCACAGAATCCTTGCGTTGCGTGAAATCACAGCATACTGCTTGCAAAGGTGTGTAAGTCCTTCCTTAGAAGCTCCTTCCCCTCTTCGCCCCCCACGCTGCACCTAAACATTATTGATTTTAGGTTTTTGTTCGAGTGGAAATTTTGCAGAAGAAAACAACAAATTCCAAGTAAAACAAAGTTCTAAGCCTGCGATCGGATGGGTGCCCACCTGGCCTCATGGCCTCGGGGCGGTGGCCCACCCAGTCGCAGGAAGTCTCAAATAACGTTTATATATACACACCCGATCGGAGGGGTTCGGTCGGTGCCTTGCCTGCCTATTTGGGATTTGCGTATATCCGCCTTCCCCTTCTGATTTTCATTATATAAACCATAGGAAAGTTTTTTATTTTTTATTTGCTAATTCCAGACGTTTTTTCCTCCACAGATGTTGCGGGCCCTGCGACAGTGAAACCCAGTTTTCTAGGCCTCCCCCCCCTCCCCACCACCCGTTTTCGGGGGGCCTGACACACGAGGAGCATGTTTAAGAAGATCTTCACGTACATACAAAAAAATGCCAGCAGCTCCAACATGTTCAGCCCAACAACGACACCCACAGCCACAGCAGCAGCAGAAGCAACAGTGGCAGTGGCACCATTGAATGCCCATGAGGATGGCGCTGCCACGCGGCGACGCATCGAGTATGAGGAGGAGGCACAGGACAGTGGGCTCTTGCTGGAGGAGGACGAGGAGGAGGAGGAGTTCATTATGGAGGATGACATTGAGCGTCAAATCAAGACATCCATAATCGATGCCACTAAAGTGCATGCTGCCAAGGCCAAGGCCATGGCTATGACGCTGCCGCTGCCGACCAATCTTCAAATGGATGATGAGCTGGCAGACTTTGCCAACGAACCGGTGACGCCCAACGATGGCGAACTCGACGAACAGTTCCTGGAACTGGATAATTTTCCCAACAATGAAATTATCGTCCTGGGCGGCACAGATCTGCTCAACACTTCCCTGGCCGCGGACAACATTTCCGAGGACCCCCTGGCCATAGACAATATTCTGGACTCGTCTTCGGTGACCACCAACGAGGAGGTGGACACCAGCGGTGATTTGCTTTGGCTGAAGCTCAACACGGAATCGGAGCCGCTTAATGGGAGCTCAGGTGGTGGCAGCAGCAGCAGCGTCGTGGTGCCCCAGGCGAAACAGCAGCAGCAGGCGGCCAAGACCAAAGAAGATGAGATGCGTGACGGTGGCTCCGACTCGGGTTTGGGCAGCGAAACGACCAGAATTACGCTCAAGCAGCAGTCATCAGCTGTGCCCGAGCCAAAGCGTTCGAATCTGAAGCGCCGGCTGGAGGATAACGAGAGCGATGCCATCGATCTGGTGCCCGATATGTCCGGCGCTGCACTCTCGACAACCAGCACCGTGGCCGCACAGAAGCGACCGAAGCGCAGCATCAACTTTGACAATGTCAAAATCTACTATTTCCCCCGGCAGCAGGGATTCAGCTGTGTGCCCACCCTCGGCGGCTGTACGCTTGGTATGGGTGCGCGCCACATTGCCTTCAAGACGATGACCCTGGCGGAGCATGCAGCGGAGCTGAGGCGTGCGCATCGCAGCCAGAATCAGGATGTGCAGCCGCGTGGCTCGAGCAGCGACGATACCGAGGAATCGGAGGAGGATTTCCTCAGCGAGGGCAGCGGCTCGGATGCGGACGATGGCTCCAATGGTTTCCTCACGACAATGTCGCCCAAGCAGCGTCGTGCGCTGCTCAAGGCGGCGGGCGTGCGCAAGATCGATGCCAGCGAGAAGATCGAATGCCGCGACATCCGGAACTCGCGCGAAGTGTGCGGCTGTTCGTGCCGCGAGTTCTGCGACCCGGAGACCTGCGCCTGCAGCCAGGCGGGCATCAAATGCCAGGTGGATCGCTCCATGTTCCCCTGCGGTTGCTCGCGTGAGGCCTGCGGCAACACCGTCGGCCGCGTCGAGTTCAATCCAACGCGTGTGCGCACCCACTACATTCATACGGTGATGCGGCTGGATCTGGAGCAGCGGCAGGGCGCCCAGGGCCACATACAGCAACAGCCTCCGCAGAGCAGCTCCCTGACGTACTCTTCCGTGGGCGCAGGTGTGCCCAGTGGCGCTGTGGCTTCCCCCACGGCCGCCGCCTCTCACTGTTACTTCATGCAAACGCAATCGAACTATAGCTCGGGCTATGCTTCGCCCGCGTACACGCCCGAGAGCAGTGTCAGCTACTACCAGCAGCAGCAGCAGCAATCTGTGGTGGTGGTGTCTCCTCCCATACCGACCACTGTCCAGCAGCAGACACAGAGCAGCTATGCGACGGCCTATGCCCAGTTGGATGGCCTGGATTCGGGTCTGTTCGCCACGGGAAGCAATGCCACACCTTCCTACGGGGAACTCTATCAATCGCTGAGCTACGGCAGTGCCCAGGTTAGTGGCTACCAGAATCCAGACTAAAGGATTGTGCCTTGATTGTAAACCTTTTTTTTTTTTTTGCAGCTCACTTCCTACCAGTCCGCCTATCAGCCGCTCTCCGCATCGCCCGTTGCCGTGGCACCCAGTGGCGGTTTTAGCTCCTGTTCGGTGCCATCGGCGCCGCCCTTCGGTAATGCCACAACGACAGCGTCGAGCAATGCCCAATATCAAACCACCGCCGCCTCCATGACTGCTGCCTCATCGATCAGTGGCAGCAGCAGCAGCATTAGCAGTTGCAATCGTCTCAGTGGTACCACCACCGCCTCCACCGCCGCCGCTGCCGCTGCCGCCTCCGCCACGACCAATGATTTCATTAGCCTAAACTCACCGCTAGCCAGTTCCTCGCGCCTCTCCCAGATCAATGATCTGCTGCAGCACAATCGTAATACCACCGCCGCCTTGGTGGCCGTCTCCGAGGGTTACAGTGGCGGCGTCAGAACCAGCTCTTCATCATCTACGATCGACTCCATTGATACGCCGCCCATTGTTGAGGATGCGCAGCGCAGCTGCATGACCTTTGAGGCGTTGCCGCCGCCACTTGTCAATCCCACGCCCATTGTGGCAGTGGTGGAGAGCAAAATGCCAACGATAGCGGGCGTGCAACCAACGCCGCCCTTAGCGCCACAGCCACGCCAGCCGCTCGATGTGCAATCCCTGACAGAAAACGCATAAAACAGACGTATGGGAACAACCAAGAGACAGAGAGAGAGAGAGAGAGCTGGGAATAGTTTTTATAGCAATTGTACACAGCAAAAGACTTCATTACGTTTAAGGCAATGGCAACGGCGACAGCGACATGGCAGTGGCAGTGGCAGTGGCAAGCCTTCCACACACACACACACACACACATACACACTCACACCCTTGTAAAAATCATCTTTTTATTGTTAAAAAACAAAATTCTAGTTAGTCTCGTAAGTGCGAAAAATGTAATTTAAAAAAATTTGCAAAATTTGCTTAAGTTTTTTTTCGTTGCTTCCGGCGAAAATGAATACGTTTTTCTACCATTATATAATGTATAATGTTTTGTTAGCCACTTAAGAAAATGGTTTCTCAATTAATTTTTTTTTGTGTTAACTAAAAATCTAAGGCAAGAAATGTTTAAAATTCCTTATCTTATTTATTTTTAGTTCCAACGAATTTCCAAAAAAAAACAAAAAAAACTAATAGTGTCGCTAAATATGATTTAACAATTGCAAATTAACATTTAATAATTTCTAATATAATATTAATATATATTCTATTTTTTTGTATTCTTGCATTTAGTTACAAAACACAAAACTAATTAATGAATTTTGTTCTAATTTTCCTCTGGTTTTAAGCTGCGTTTAAGTATTCATTTAGTTGTTAAGTTCCACTAATTTCCGACCTTTAATTAAATATTTTATTCCTAATTAAACACAAAAAACCACAAATGGCAGCAACAATAACCATTAGAGCATTGATTTATTAATATTGTATATGCTCGATAAAGTATATTGATTATAAACAGAGAGCAGAAAAAACGATACGAATGCAACATGAAAGTGAACAAAATAATAAAAATAAAAATAAAGAAAGGAAAAAAATCATTGCAAATTATTTGAATCACAATATTAAATACAAAAATAATAGAACCAGAGTTCAATGAATACTACAAGAATTTAGGAACCGATTCAGGGTAAAAGGTTTTCTACATATCAAAATTTTGCCTAATGTTCTTTACAAATTATTAGTTTGAAAATAAGCAAAATATTTGTATTCTTACAGTTCCAAACCCTTGGGGGAAAAAGAAAGAATGGTCTGTCGGTCATAGTGACGTACCAACAGAATACATAGACGCTAACAAGGGCTGTCCTCAAGACCATCACAATGAACGAGTTCACTCTGAACATCTTTAAAAAAACGTGCTATATGTGAAAGTGTATTTAATGATTAAATTCTGGGGCACTGACAATAAGACGAAGATAATTTAAGTTTCTATCTCCACGGCATTAGGAGAAATCCCTGCATAGAACATCTTTGTTGTGTCTCCTGCAAGTTGATCCACTAATCTGAAATCTCTAAAATTATTTGAAATTTCCTATTTTAAACTCCATATACTTATTTAAATGTTTTCTTTATTCTTACAGGCTCTGTGGCATGCAGCCCCTCCTATTGTCAAATCTCAGGAAAAATTCTTTTGATATAAAATAGAATTAGATTGCAAGAAATATTGCCACAAATTTAGATTCTTTGATGCAGGATTTGTATTAAAAAAAACTTGTTCTTAATTTTATTTGCTATTAGCTTAAGCTGGAAAATTAAGGCAAGTTCTATTCGATTTTAATTGCGATAATGTAAATTTTGTTTTGAATTTAATTTTCACAAAATTTAAAAAGATTTTCAATAGATTTTGTATCAGATTTTAATAGACTAAACTTTGGGGGACGGGACTCTAACAAATTCATTGTAAAGTCCACTCAAATTCCAATGAATATTTTGCTAAAGTTTAATTGAGTGAAAATACTTATCCATAAGTACACCCAAGATGTTCTATATATTCCTACACCTAAAACTCATCAAAAGTAACACCAATTTGTCGCCTCATCTGCTCGCTAATGGCTATAATCTCCAGACTGGCGGCATGTGGAAACTTTGGACTCTCCAGCAGCCGCTTTTCGATGCAGCGACGCACCTCCTCCGCCTCGTAGCGCAGCCCACAGGTGTTTGTATAATGAAAATCAAATTTAGCTTTGGGCAAAGGCCACAATTCGGGTGGACCATTGGAGCGGGCCAGCTGTGTGCAGCACCAATAGTTGGAGAGCTGTCAAAAGAAGGAAGAAAAAACAAAGAAAAAGTATGCAATGTTGTCACTGATAATCCCATTGATCTGTAGGTCAGAGAGAGAGATAATGCCTCACCTTAATCTCGCCTTTGGTGCCCACAATAACAGCATCGTTCTCCAGATTCTCCAGGCCAGTGACCAAAGCCACCAATCGACGCCCATCGCCATAGTCGAGTATGAATTCGGTTTGAACATCCACGCGATCTTTATTCAGCTGCGTGCCACTTGGAAGGATCTTGACGGGCGAGCTACCAAACACAAATTGTCCTAGTTGCAAAGCATAAACGCCCAGATCTAGGATAATGGAACCACCTAGCTCTCGATTGCTGACACGTTCGACATGCGCCAAGCGAAAGCCATGCTGCACCTTCACGAGGGTCACCTCGCCAATGGCATCGCTCTGTAGCAGTTCCCGGAGACGTTCGTAGCTGGGAAAGAAGCGTGACCACATGCCTAAAGCGAGCAGAAGAAATCTCCATTAAAATATGACTTAAATCTCTCTTCACCCAGTCTCACCTTCCATCAGGAAAACGCCACGCTGCTCTGCCAACGCATACAGCTCCTTGGCCTGATCCACACCCAGACACATGGGTGTCTCGCAGAGCACATGCTTGCCCCTGGACACAAGCAGATGCACGACAGCATAGTGAAAGGGATTCAGCGTGCCCACATACACCACATCCACCTCTCGATCCAAAGCCAAGTCATCGAAACCATTATAGTGTCGTGGTATTTGATTTCTTTGGGCAAACTCCTGCGCCCTCGGGCCATCTACATCGGCCACAGCCACCACCACATGACGGGACTTCTCAATGGTGCCGAGAGCCGTGACAAAGTCCTGGGTAATCCTACCAGCGGCTGCTATGCCCCAGTTCAAAGTGGTTGCTTGACTCTGCATTGTTCCGCGGCTTTGGCGTCTTCTGTCTCTCTGGCTCGTGTCCGGGCTGCTACTGACGCCATATGATAATGATACGTAGTGCCGAGTAGAGTCCCGAGTACTATCAGTCCACGGCATCTGCATTCATTGCACTTTTGCATTGCATTCCGACTGATAACGAGACATTCAGCATGGAGAGCAGCCCCACAAGCACCAAGCCTCTAAATGCCGATGATGCTAAAGCGAATGGGAAAACTATTTAAATTTTATTATACTTTAAGCGTTAGAATGTATTCCAAAAGGTTCTTTGGAAAGATAAACAGCTCTAAAGAGTTTTAGGAACCAATTCTCATTATATTTTCTTCTCTTTATCCTTTTCTTAGAGCTAAAAGTATCAAAAAAGATGCCGAAAGATTCCCTGTAGGTTTCCTTAAATATTCTCCCATTCCGTTCTCTTTTCTTTAACCTCTATTCATAGTTAAATCAAACTGAAACCATTTAGAGACTCACCTGAAACAATTCTCTGTAAATATTTTCCATTTCCGCAATCATTTCTCAATTCTCGAAGGCATCTCAAGGTCTGTTACGGATCTCTGTAGGGGCACACTCTATAGCTTTCAAGTGTTCTACGCAAACGAAACAATGGGGCATTGGCGTAATTGCTGCTTATCACTCAGAGGACGAGCCCCTTTTTCCATTCCTGACTATCAAAAGATAAGCCACCAACGTCAACACGTCAATGGCAAAAAGTACAGTTGTGTAAAAGGTTTGATAGCCCCCAGAAATGTGTCAAATAAATGTGGAAGAAGTTTAAAATTAAAAGAATTAATAGAACTTTAGGGTGTAAAATTGATTTATGATGGGTTTTTTGTATAACCTTTAATATTTTCCCCCCTAAGAAGTCCGCCATTGCAGAACTTCTAGCTCGAACAGACGCCTAACCATGATAAGATATAGCACACCCCGCCAGACCGTAAGATAAGAGGAACCCCAGCCACTGCCCCCCCTCATTTGTACACGAAGAATAAATTCCGGCACGCATTGAAAACGTGATCTATAGCACACATACATATGTATATAAGTGGAAATTTTGTGCTCAATCATGTTATTCCAATCCAAAAGATAGGGAGAACTTCGACCTAGGGGAATGAATGTCATTTAACAATCAATATGCCGCGCATCTTATCGCAGTGTTTGTTCAATCGAAATGAGCAAGTGCCAACATGGCCAAGAGGCTGCCACAGTGTTTAAGTGTATAAGACAATATTTAATATATTTAATGGGTTGGGTGTGGGGCTAATACAATCTATAAATTTATTCCTCATCGTATTTGTTCAGCACACCGATCTGTTTGCGGATGGTATCCTGAATTTCGGCAAAGAGCAGACTGTCCGCATAGCTGACAGTTTTGTTCTCAACATCGCCGGCTACTATGGATTGACGCACTGCCTCCGCCTCGTAGCGCATGGCCTCGGAGTTGCCATAATTTGTGGCATATTTGCCCTTGGGCGGCACCCACTCCTTCTCCTTGCCATCAATGTCAATCAGTTTGTTGGGTGTCCAAAAGTCAATCAGCTGTGAATTGGAACAATTCACATTAAAAACTATACTCCAACAATCGAAGGCGCCTCAAATGCCTACCGTCACTTGTCCCTTGGAGCCCTTTATGACTGCGGTATTGTCCAGCTTTTCCTTCGAGGAGAAACGCATGCGTGCCGTGCGTCCACCGCTGTAGGTCAATGTGGCACTCACATCATCGTCAATGCCCTCGGCATTGGTGGTGCCAGTCGATTCGATTTTCTGTGGCTTCTCCTGGAAGGCCCACTGCGACACCTGAATGGTGTACACGCCCAAATCGTAGACCACACCTCCACCCAGCTCGCGTTTCCTTTAAAGCATAACAGAGAATAGTTTTTACATGGGAACTATCAGGGTTAAAGGAGGGTTTCGTCTCCGACTCACTGCAAGCGATCCACATTGGCCAGGGGGAAACCAAAGTTGACCACCACCTCTTTGATCTCGCCCAATTGTCCGCCGGCGGTCAGCTCACGGACACGCTGGTAGGCGGGCAAGAAGCGCGACCACACAGCCTCCATGAAAAAGCGTTTGTTTGCCTTGGCGGCGCTAAGGATACCCTCCACTTGCTTCTTGTTCATGGCCAGAGGCTTTTCGCAGAGCACATGCTTGCCATTGTTCAACATTAGCAGGGAGACCTCATAGTGCTGGGGATTCAGGACGCCAATATAGACGACATCTATGGGAAATAGGCGACACATTAATACTGCTCTTGGAGGGGTTATGAATGCCACCCGGTACTCACCCACATCTTTGCTCTTGGCCAGCTCATCGTAGCTGCCGTATGCGGTAGGAATCTCGTGTTTCTTGGCAAACTCCTGGGCACGATCCAGCGCGCGGGCAGCAATTGCCTGCACCTTGTGCTCGCTGGCGGGCAGTGTGCTCAGTGCGATGACAAAATCCTCGCTGATCTTTCCAGCCGAAGCGATGCCCCAACGTATGATTTGTGCCATGTCTGTCGAGTGATCTGTGAATGAGGAGTGTTGTGGCCGGCAGTGTGCGGCGTTTATTAAATAGCGAAAAAAATATGTGAGTGTGTGCGGTGTGCTCTTATCAGTTAAGAGAGAGAGAGAGAGATCCTCTCCTGAAACACTTGTGTGGTTTATCTTTTGGCTGGCAATTGTTTTGAATCTTAATTTACAGAAGGAGCTCGCGCCTATTTCACAATGTTATTGAGTTTGACCTTGCCGGGGGGTGTACGCCCAACCATTACTTGACATATTTTTGAGGTGTGCGATTGTCATCAAGTGACGATGAACGAGCCCTCTGAAAGCAATTTATTGCGCTATTCATTCGAACACAGCGACGTTCGGAAGGGGTTCTAATCAGATGCCAGTGTTTCGGAAACCTGAAAACTGGGAACACTATTACCTGGAATAACTGAGTTCTGTTTGGTTTTGTGTTTCGTGATTAGTGATCAACAAATGGTCGGTTCTAATATACCAGATGCCAATGTACGAAATTGGCTCAATTTCCAAGCCGCTCTGACAGTCAAGTTTCTTTTTGGCTTCTGGCAACAGTGGGGGTATTTTATGGATAGCGTCCTTACATTCACATAAAATTGAACACAGTTTTCCACAGGCAATTGCTTTCACAAATCTTCCATGTTTTTCAGCCTTTCGTAGTCATCTTTATTTCGGCAGGAGCCCACGTATGACGAGTCGTATTTTGTTCCAGAGGATTGCCTCCTGTTCCAACAGAGTTCGAAGCTCATACGTAGCTTGTAGTTGCAGTTTTTCTGGACGAAACTGTCCCACAGATAATATGATAGCTTCATCATTTTTCCCCAAGTGTGGAAGATTTTTAAGATGGCTCACTTCACATACTCTTCTAATATTTAAGCCGCCCCTTTACAGTTTCCCTGGAAACGTATTTGCTTGGATTGGCTTTGGCAACAGGTGTTTGAACGATTTAAAAAAATGTTTTGTTCGATGAATATATAATATATATATATATTTATATATATATACATACATATATCACAAAGCGCTTTGCATAATTAAATGCGGCACAACCTTGAACACATGTCAACCGGCAAATGTTCTTTTTTATAATTACACTCCTATCCAACCACCCACAAACCTAATTAAATTGCGCTCTTACCCTGAACTTGAAGCAGAACTATGATAAAACTTTCCACTGAATTCAGTTCTATTTATACACAATCTACGGCTGAGGTGTCCGACTTTAAAAGACTTCACTGTTGATACTGGAAGCACTATTTGTGTATATACTTTATACCATATACTGTTTGGTTAGTGGTGCAGCCCTGTAAGAAATTATACAAAATTTCAGAGATTGTTCTGTTCCGTTAATAGCTAAAAACTTCGGCTAGTTTTTCGGCATAATATGGATGGCACCCACCGAATTTTGTTCTCTGAGATCGAGCTTGAAATTATGGAATTTGAAATGTAGTAGTAAGTAAAATTAAAGTTTACATTTAAGTTTACATAGAAATGTATAAAAGCTGAAACAGCTGTTACTTCAAAGAAGAATAGCGGCCGCATCAGCTGTTTCTTGTTTTGATTTTGTTGTTACATCGCCCGCACATTTATTTGTTCGCAGAATGCTGAGAAAACTATTATTAAACACGCAAATTGCATTAAGGCAACAGCAAAAGGTAAATATACAGCAGATCAACAAAAGCACAGTTTAAAAATTGAATATTTCAGTTACAATGCACGCGCTACCTGGCCATGAAAGCCGCTGCCCCAAAAATATTGGAACTGCAGCCGGTGCACATCGAGGAGGCCATTAAATTGGAGCCCACACTATCCATCTACACGCCCGAGGTGTGGCGGCGAGCCCATGAAACATTCGTAAATCATGGCCTGGAAACTGTGAACTTTCTGCGCATTGTTACCGCCAATCCGGCTGTGCTGAGACGCACGCCAGAGCGCATCATCGGCAGTCTGGAGATCTGGCGCGCCTGCCAGTTTGGGGAGACTCTGCTGCACCTACTACTGACCAAATATCCAGAGCTGTTGGATGTCAGCGATTCCCATCAGTTGCTCTCGCACGTGGGCTTCCTGAAGAGTCGCGTCTCGACCAACAAAAATGTGTGGAAACTGCTGATGAACAGCCCCGACTTGCTGGCACAACCAGAGAAAACTATAGCGGAGAAACTAGACTACATCATGGATGTAATGCGCATAGAAGTGCCAGAATTGGTCAAGTCCGCCGGGCTGTCGATGGCCTTTGAGGAGCTGCGCTGCCGGCACGAGTTCCTCGTGCGCTTGGGCTTGTTTAAGCCGCGTGCTCCGAAAGCAGATCCCGATGAGCCCACCACCAACCACAGATTGTACCAGATTACGGACACATCCGAGAAGACGTTCGCCACAAAGATCTGCCATGTCACACTGCCCGAATACGAGGCCTTCAAGGACCTGCATGCCCGCGAAATCGAACGGAAGACAAGGAAACGCAGGGAAGAAGAGGATTTCAGTGATGAGGAGGAATAGGCTATAAGAAATAACCCCCCTTTGGGTATTCGCAATATTAAAGATTTTCAAAGTCAATCCGCCAAATTCGTCTGGCTTCTTGATATGTAGCAAATGTGTAGTTACCGTGTTGTAATTAGCATGTAAAATAAGGAACATTTTTGTTGACCTTCAATGTTTCAAACTTATTTTATAAACAATCCAATAAAGTCAATATGGTCATTTTTTGTTGCAAGTACACAGGATAAGGATATATTTACAAACACCATGTTTTTCCGCGGCTTACCTCAAGTTGTTCACCTGCTTAAATTGAGGGCGGTTAAGTTCGTTCACTAGTTCATGATCTATGGTATAGTATATGTTAGAAATTGTTTGGTATATTACGGTATATTTCCGAAAGGCAGACGGTATATTTTACCGATAGATCCGCGGTCGTCACACTGTACGCGAGAGTAGAGCTGTCAAGCGATTGATAGTTGTGCCATCGATAGTTTTGAATGTTTTGAAAAAACTATCGATACAATCGTGATAGTATCGGGCTCAAATAATTATTAATTATTAAATTTTTTTTTGTTGATATTTACTGGTTACTAATCTGATTAAAAAGAGCGGGCTTAAGCTATTTTTTTCTCGGTTTCTGACAGTCACACTCGACAAAACAAATCAAGTGAACTATTTATTTTTCCATATATATACATTTGAAAATGACCGCCAAACTCATTTACCGCACAAAAAATACTGACATTTTTCGCTCTCAATTCGTGGTGATTTTTCAAAATTTGCTTTTTTTTAAGAGGTGAAGAGAGCGTTTTCGTGTTGTGAGCCACATGTTCTTAACGGGAACGCCGTAAGATTCATTTAATTTGTATGGGAAAAAAATTCAGCAACATGTGGAAATGAAAAGGCAGCATTGTTGTGCAACTTTGGCACGGGATGAGCAACAATCATCATACCTAGGGAAAATGGATATTATGGACTTGAGATACTGTTTGTAATTTCAGGCTCCAGAAACTACTCAGTCTCTGTTTTGAAAGATATTAACGAAATTTTGCAGCTCACGGGTTCCAATAATACGTATCAGAATCGGGATAAATGTATTTATAAAACACAAATATGTGCATCTATAGGTAAAAAAACATGTCAATCTAGGATAAAATCATAAATAATGTTTCAATGGAGCTTGGAACAAAACATTTAACATCAATTAAAAGAAATAAGGTATACAAAAGTACATACGCATAGAAGAAACTTGGTTGACCAGCAACACCGACGTCACATTTTGTCAACATTTACGTTTTATGCTTTGGCCGTTTTTGTTTGAACCTTTTTATGTAAACAATGCAATAAAAAGGACTTCTGAAAGCTTGCCAATCTTGTAGAAAATTAAGGTATCTATCGGAAAAAATCATTTTTTTAGGGCTGAGAGGGCAAACTAGCTAGTAATATTAAACGGAATATCAAATTCGAGGAATATCAACGTTGAATGTTTTGAAAAAAACAATCGATCCTATCGTAATAGTATCGGGCTCAAATAATTATTAAAAAACCATTGAAACCTTTCAGGAACTTCTCCCTTATAAAAATTAGATGCCACCTGTCGATTTGTTTACAAATGTGCCTTCGTATTTTATAGCAGCCAATCCAAACATATCAAAAGCGCAACGACTGTAGCTCGATACTATCATGATAGTTGCAAAACCGTCGATAGTAGAGGCTAGCAGTAAAATATCGATACTATCGATAGTGCCATCGATGGTTTGACACCTCTACGCGAGAGGAAAAATTTATTTTGATAAAAAGCCTGAACAAAAACAAAACAAGCCACCCTAACAAAATGGAAGTGTGTTAACGCGAATGTAAGTAGAAATCAGTCATCATTCAAAACCAGTAAAATCTCTTTCGATATTTGGTGCGATTTTTTTTTCTTTCAATTGTGCTTTGTTTGTATGCCGTGCGTTTGTGTGGGAAAGTGTAAGTGTTGTGTGTGCAGATGTGCGTCCGTGAGTGCGTGCGCATGTGTGAGCGCGAATGAGATAGCAATAAACTAGAAGCGGTTGTCAAAAACAGCTGATCGATTGTCCAAAGAGTTTCTCGTGTGCGTGTGTGATAGGGGAGGGGGGCGCATGTGTGTGGGTGCGTATGTGTGGGTGTGCGTAGGAGGTTGTTTGTGGCGGGGTGGGGTGGGGGGTCAACACTCACCTGTAAGCTTTTCCCTAACAAAAATATCCCTTGGTTTTCTTTTTGCAGTTGCGCTCGAGGCGCCTCACTAAGGCAACTCTCTCGCTTGTCTACTACCTACCCACCCTCTGTCTCTCTCTCTCATCAACGAGCAGCAGCAGCAGGAGCCGCAGCTTGAGTTTTGTACTCCACACCATGCCCCTGAATGATGCACTGGCGGCCACTGGAGCGGCGGGCATAATCTATGCAGAGAACGGCACCAAGCACAAAACCATGACCAACTCATCCAAAGCAGATCTGATGACAGGAGGAGGAGGTGGTGGCAGTGGCAGTGGTGGCGGCGGCGGCAGCGGCGGAGCACTTATTGGCGGCAGTGGGGTATCCCTGGCCAGCCTGCATGGCCAGAAATGGACGCAGGTCTTTGATATGGATAAGATGATCAAACAACTGCGCACAGCGGAGAAGGCATATCTTAGGGGAGGCGGCGGCGGCGGTAGCAAGGCCACGGGCAGTGACCAGGCCAAGCTCCATGTCCAGCGTCTGAATGCTGCCGACATGGCGTACTACGACATCGTGCCAAAGCTGGCCACCCGGGATCTGGTCGTGTGCAACACCTGCAACGGTAGCTACACCAAGGCGGGATTCCAAAACCACATAGCGCTGCAGCATCCGGCCATTTGGGAGGCCACATCGAACAAAGTTAATCCGCTCACTGCCACAGGCGACACCACCACCAGCAGCAGCCAACAAGAGACAGCAGCAGCAGCAGGGGGCGACAATCTGGCTGGGGGCTCGCCCACGGAAACTCTGTCCGCCTCCACACTGTCCAGCTGCTCGAATGGTTCGAGCAGCTCAGCATCCCAGCACACCGCGGCCAATGCAACGAGCAGCTCCTCGTCCTCCTCGTCGTCGCGTCACAAAAGCAGCAGCAGCAGCAGCAAGAGTAGCAGTTCCTCCTCCAAGGGCAGCAGTGGGACCAGCAGTCGCTCCCGTTCAAAATCATCGAAAAATCGCCACCATTCATCGCCAGCACCTGCGCCAGAGTTGAAGGACAAGACGTGTGGCGGTGGCGGCTCCTCCAAAAAGAGTAGCAGCAGCAGCAGCAGTGCCATAGCCGCGCCCCCAGCAGCAACAGCAGCAGCAGTAGCGATGGCTGGCAGCATTAAAGAAGAGTTTGTACCGGCGCCCATAACCGTGTTCTCCTCATCCTCGAATTCATCCTGCTCCCTGCCACCGAGCGAGCTGGTGGGTGGTGTGGGTGTGGGTGTGGGTGTGGGCGTGGGTCTAAGCGTGAATTACTCTCCTGCCAATCATCAACAGGGTGTTGCTGTGGTGGATGAGAAGCAGCCTGAAATCCAGCCAAAGAAGAAGGTAGTGTGCTCCGTCTGTGTGCTTGGCCAAGACAAACGTTTTCTAATCAAATTCGTGTTTTAGCCGAAGGTATCCAGCGATCATCGAACAAAAGCGTCCAAGGATAAGCCAGTCGTGCAGATCGGCAGCCAGTACGAACAACAGCAGCAGCAGCAGCAGGTGGGATTGATGAGTGAACTCGATCAGGCTGTGTCCTCCATAACCGGCCAGGTGGCTTCACAGGAGGCGCCGCCAACCGAAGAGGAAGAACTGCCGCTGCCTAGCACAACCGATGAGAATTCCATTTCGCTCACACTGGACGAAATGCTGGACAGCAAATTGATTAATGAGATTCTGAAAAACTTTGATGAAAGTGCGCTGGACACCGCCCAGCAGCAACAGCAACAGCAGCAGCAGCAGCAGCAGCAGCAACAACAGCCAAATGGCACGACTCAGCATGCGCCACAAGCCACAAAAAGACTGCGCTATGACGATGTGGCTGGCGAAATGGGTGAGGAATACATCTACCAGCAGCAGACGCAGCAGCAGCAGCAGGCGAACCAGCAGCAGCAACAGGTCTATGGCGAGGATAACCAGAGTCAATTGACCACCATCGATGCCATGCAGCTGCAGCAGCTCATTTATCAGCAGCAGCAAATGCTCGAGCAGGCAGAACAACAACAGCAGCACAAGCAGGATTTGCCTGAGGAGCTGCAGGCAAATGCAAATGGACAGCAGCAGCAGCAACAGCAACAACAGTTCAGTGTGTACAATGTGCAGTCGCTGACTGACGATGCGGAGGTGCAACAGCAGCAGCAGCAACAGGAGCAGCAGCAGCAGCAGCAGCAGGTGCAGGTGCAGCAGCAACAGCTCGATGAGCATATGATACTGCCAAGTATTATATATGAGATTACAGACACGAATCCAGTGTCGGTGCTGGAGCAACAAAAGGTTATAGCAGAGTTCCTCACACAAGCGGGCTATGAGAATGTCGATGTGAATGTGCTGCAAGCAGCCACGGGCGGCGCAACAGCAGCAGGCACCACCACAATGGATGTCAGTCAATTCAATGATGACTTAAATGATTTTGATTTCACAAAACTGGAGACTGTTAGCGACACAACAACAACAACAACAACAAAGACTGTTAAACTGGAAGCCACCAACAGCCAGACACAATCCTCCGCCACCACCACTAACATTCACATTAAGCAACCATCTTTGATCCATGCCAAATGCCACGAGGAGAGCTATTTCAATGTGATGCACTATTCGGGCCAGCCCCGACCCCTGGCCATGAACACTTTCGGTTTGGTGAAGCTGCCCAACGGTCTGGGCGCCACATTGCGCAAGAATCTGCTGACCACACGCAAGGCGAACAACAGTTTGCTGTCGCTGAATGGCGGCACTTTGGGCGTTGTCGGTCAGCTCGCTCGCCCACCACCGCCCGCACCGCAGGCAAATAACTACACGGCGCTCAGCAATGGCACGGGGGGTATATTGGTGAAAAATGCAGCCGCTGCCGCTGGCAAGACCATCTATGCACAGAAGTCGAGTGTTATAGCGCAGGATCGACTGAGATGCAACAAGCGGGCGTTGGTGCCGCCGCGTCTGGAGGCGGGCAAGGGTAATGGAAATGGTTTGATGACAGCCAAGCGTTTGAATGAATTGCTGTTGGGCAAGGCTGTGAAAAAGGAAAAGCTAATGGACAACGAAGAGCCAGAGCAGCAGCAGCCGCAAAAGGAGGAATTGGAGCAGCAGCAGCAACAGCAACAGCCGGACCACAAGCTTACACACAGTTTCTATGAGAAGCGACGAAAGCTACTGGCCAAAAGTCAGCAGCAACAGCAGTCTCCCAAACGTCAGCCACAGCAGCAACAGCAGCAGCAGCCACAATACCTCCAGCAACAGCAGCAGCAGCAGCAACAAGAGCAAGTGCTGCGGCAACGTTCACCAAACTTTTCTCTTCCACTACAAAACAACTCAAATGTTGGACAGAATTCGCAGCCGCTGCTTAAGAAGCAATTGCTGCGCACGCTGTCCGACAGCAGCAGCAATATACTGGCCATTGCCAACAACAGCGGCAACAGCAACAGCAGCAGCAGCACTCCTAATGCCAATAGTAATCCTTGGAAGAGCCAAAGCTCAACGCCCGGTGGGGGCTCCACGCCAAGCAGCAGCGATCTGATGCGTGTTTTTGTCTGAGAAATATATACATATAAATATGATATATGTATATATATATCTACATATATGTACGTATCTATGTTTATACAATTATGTGCAGCGCCCCGCCACCCTCCTCTTCTAAAACAAAACAAAACCCTAAGTTATTTTTACACAATTTTTTAAATCAATTCAATTTCATTTTTTAAAAGTGATAATTAGTTACCATTTAGTTTATATATTATATGATTGTATGTAGTACTCTGTTTAGAACTATGCTTTAAGATTTATTTAAATACTTTTCGTGGCTAAGCAAATTAAAACTAAGTAAATTATGTATAACGCCTGTAACTTTATAAAAATACAAGAGCATGCCCTATGTTTCAAATCAAGCGCCCTCATCGTAGTGTTGGAAAGTGCAGCACAAAAAATACTGCTGAAAAATTTTCACCAGAGGTTTTTCTTCTTCCTATTTGCGGAAAATGTTTCCTTTTCTTTTTTGCGGATTTTTGTTTTTAGTGCTGCCAGATCAGTTCAAAGCGAATTGTTAATGAAACGGGTCACAAAATATCATGGTGTGGCAGCCCGCAGCAACTACGAATTGCAGAATCTGGCAGCGCCACAAGCAACGACGTCACATTCGTTTTATGTTGTTTTTTTTTTTACCATTTTATGTAAACAATGCAAGAAAAGGACCTCTTAAAACTAGCCAATCTTGTAGAAAATTGATGTATCTATCGGATAAAAATTATTTTTTTAGGGCTGAGAGGGCCAACTAGCTATTAATATTAAACTGAATATCAAAATTATGGAATACGATTTCAATCAATAAAATATAACGTTATCCCATTGTCGACCAAGGGGGTATTTAATATTTCCTGGAAATTTATGTAACTTTAACATATTTTACGCATTACATATGAAAGATGTCGGTGGTCATTTTTGTTTTGTAATTATAGAGGAGGATGGAGCTACAAGGAGCCTTAACAAACAGTATTATTCTCCGCGGTTTAACAAAGGGTGCTCAACTTATTAAATAGAAGGGGGTTAAGAGGGTTAAGTGTCGTTTGATCGCCGGATTGTTGACATTTTTTTGCTCACAAAAATGCGTCCGTCCGATGCGCTCGTGTTGCTCCTACCTGTCCTGCTGAGCGGCCTGGTGTCCAGCGTCCAGGGCACGCTGTCGCCCAACGACAAGCCGAAAAGCAAACAACAGAAAGAAGTGCTGCGTGGTCCGCAAGACGAAGATGTCTTCGGTCTTGGTTTGGTGTCGCCAGAGCCCCTGGCCAAGGACATTCTAGCACATCACAGAGCCTACCACAAGGAGACGGCAGCGAGACGGTTCAATGGCACCACCCTTGGATATGTGACACCCGTAAGTGGGGGAAGAGGAAATGGTTATGTCTCTGCTTATGCATTCTCGTTCTCGTTTCAGTGGAATTCTCATGGCTATGATGTGGCAAAGATATTTGCAAAGAAGTTCGACATCATCTCGCCCGTTTGGTTGCAAATTGTTAAGCAAGGAGATGCCTATGCGGTGGCGGGAATGCACGACATCGATGCAGGATGGGTGAGCGATGTCCGCCGCAAGGGAAAGGTGCAACAGCAGCAGCTTCAGCGTACCGTCAAAGGTAGTTCTGTGAAGAATCTCCGTTTCCTGCCTTTACTAATGATTCTTCAGTCTTTCCTCGATTTATATTTGATCATTTCACCGATCGTGACATCAAATTGCTCCTCAGCAATGCCAAGGAGCGCACCAAAGTCAATGAGGTTCTGATTAAATGCTGCAAGGACAATCATTTCGATGGTCTGGTGCTGGAGGTATGGTCACAGCTGGCAGGACGCATAGACGATAAGATTCTCTTCAGCTTGGTGCTGCAAATGGGTTGGTTTTTCGCACATATTTCTTTGGAATTGAACTAAGTTCATGTCTTTCTTCAGCCAAGGAACTGCAAAAGCAGCAGCTGCGTCTTATCCTGGTCATTCCTCCCTATCGCAAGGACACGGGAATTCTGTTTGGGGAGAAGCACATGGATACGCTGTACAAACACATCTACGCCTTCTCCCTCATGACATATGACTTTTCCAGTGTACAGCGACCGGGCGCCAATGCTCCGCTGTATTTTGTGCGTCAGGCTGTGGAGACAATCGCCCCCAAGGGCTGTCCTGATATGGAGGCCAAGCGTTCCAAGATTCTTTTGGGTCTGAATATGTACGGCAATGACTATACACCCGATGGCGGTGGACCCATTACCTTTTCGCAGTATTTGGATTTGGTGAAAAATGTGAAAAAACACTTAACCTACGACGAGCGAGATGTGGAAAATTTCTTCGAAATCAAGTGAGTAATTAACCTTTGAGGAACATCTTGTAATTTGATTACTTTTAGAAACGAAAATGGTCGTCACATTGTGTTTTATCCTACTCTATATTCCATCAATGAGCGGGTGAAGTTGGCACAGGAGTTGGGCACAGGGATATCCATTTGGGAGCTGGGACAGGGACTTAATTACTTTTACGATCTCTTTTAGAATATCAATAGCATATTGCAAGCATTTAAAAAATGCAATGCCATTCCAAATAAAATCTTTGCTATATTAGCTTGAAACTCTAAATAGGTTTGATTGTTTTCAAATTTGGCGGCCCCCCTTGGTAAGGTATGTGGTGGTGGGGGGTGGTTTTATCCTTGAAAGCTTTGAATTTTGTGACGTTATACCTTATACCTTTTCCTTGCGGCGCAACTGAAAGCTCAAGTTCAAGGCCTGAAACATTCAAAAACGTTTTATTACGTCGAAATTAGAAATAAATCACAAAGGATAATACAGTTTTATCAGATAATTCGTTATACTTGATGTTATGTTTTTAGCATAATCTATGATTGGCACTCTCCAGGAGTGGTCCCAATTCTATATCCAACAAGAAATGAGTACTTTGGATTGGCAAATCTTTAAGGAAATTGATTAATTAATCGTAGAAAAATATTTTTTCAGCGCTGAGAATCTTAGCTTGCTAGTAATATTAAACCGAATATCAAAATCAACGCACATATTGTCCTGTCGTTTAGTATATTTACGGTATATTTTGATAATGACAAAGTATATTTCGGTATATCTTATGGTCACACGGTCCGCGGTCACATTTATTTATTTTTGTTAAATTCGCCGGTAGTTTATGCTAAATTTAGTGTCTTAAGCAACTAAAATGCGCTGGCTTTATGCCTGCTTCGTCATTATACTGTGTGCCCTCATATTCTGCGAATATGTGGCCGATTTCGTGGTCCTGCAAAAGTGTCAATGGCCAGAGATAAAGCGCAAGAAGTATGTGGATGATCCTCTGCGTGCCATGATCATAGCCGATCCCCATTTGCTGGGTCCACATCGCGGCCACTGGCTGGACCAGTTCTACAGGGAATGGCACATGACGCGAGCCTTCCAGGCGGCCTCACGTCTCTTCCAGCCGGACGTTGTGTTTGTGTTGGGCGATCTGTTCGATGAGGGCGATATGGTCAGTGATAAGCAATTTAAAGAATACGTTTGGAGGTATTTGCAAATGTTTCGCTTACCGCCTGGCATACCGCTAATTAGTATTGTGGGCAACCATGACGTGGGCTTCCACTACAAGTAGGTTATAAATCTATTATTTAGCACATATGTATTATGCACTAATTGCCATGTTTCTATCTTGTAGAATGCATCCATTTTTCATGTCGCGCTTTCAGAATGATCTAAACTATTCGCTGGTGCATTTGTATACCATTAAACAGATTCACTTTGTGATTATCAACTCCATGGCCATGGAGGCCGATGGCTGTATGTTCTGCAACGAGGCCGAGTCTGCTCTCAAGAATATTTCACGCATCCTGCACTGCATGAAGTATCCCGAGGAGGCAGAGTGTGCCCGCACACGTCGCCATCCGTATAGTCAGCCCATATTGCTGCAGCATTTTCCTACATACCGCATCTCGGACACAATGTGCCAGGAGCACGATGCCCCCTTCATTGAGGCCTATCGCGAGCGCTTTCATGTGATTTCCAAGGAGTCCACAGATATGCTGGGTGAGCTGCTGAAGCCACGCCTGGCCTTTGCGGGGCATTCGCATCACTTTTGTCACAGCGTCAATCGGCTGGGCATTGATGAGTACACCGTGGCTTCGTTTAGCTGGCGGAATAAGATAAATCCTAGCTTTATGCTGGTGCGTAAACACTCATATACACCTTAAATGTGCAATCTGATAATATTTTATTCTGCTCTTTCAGGCCACTTTAACACCCGATGACTATGTGGTTTCCAAATGCAAAATGCTGCCACAGCAATTTGTCTATAATAGTTACTTGTGTGCCGGCTTAATCTGCCTTATGGTCATTGCCTGGCAGCTTATGAAATCATTGCGCAGCAGCAAACTCGATCTGGCCACAGATCAGCAGCATCATCCAAAGCATAACTAGTTGTATTAGTAATTATATAAATTGAATGTATTTCGGAGCAAAGTACAAGAGTCAATTGTCTCTTTTGTGATTTAATGCCTAATTGGGGCTTAGTTTTTAGTAATTAGAAATTTTTGTTGGAAATTAACAGACAAAGAAGATAATTTTCATATCTTATTCTTCCCCCTCTCCCCCCATCCAGCTGCTGCTTATAAAATCGTGTGTATTGTGGTGATTGTATTTATTGAATTTTTATCACAGACATTATATGCTTGTAAAGTCACACGGAATACATATGAGGACACAGGTCTGCTGCAGCTCAATCAAATAGAAAAAAAAATATGCCAAAAATAAAAATAATGCTTAACAAAAACTGGAAACTGGAATAAACAGACAAAAAAAAGAACCATTTCAATAAAGCTAAATTAATAATACAAATAATAATTACACTAAACGATTATGCATTTAGAATGTTGTTATCTAGTGGGCGATACGCCCTCCGATTCCATGCAGATTCATTGGTTCCTGTACTTCGGTTTGTACTAGACTATTTACTAAAGGTATAAGCTACAAACTAGATTGTTTTGGAATACAATGCTGCCAAAAAGGGTTTCAGGATTTCCAACTAGTGGTTTTTGGCACTCATGTGCTGCTATTCAGGAGGTTCTTGTGCGCCTGCGCATGGAGATTGCGTCCCTCAAAGCATTCTTTTGGCAGGAATCTGGCAATGGAAAATAAAAAGAAAAAACATTTAATCCCATTAAATATTGTCCCTTTTTCATTATAGCTACCTATGAATCACTGGCGATATGACATCTGGATCTAGACTCTTTATGTCCGTTGGTTTGGTCACCAGCGAGACGAGTGCACCCACCAGTATCGCTGTGGCCACACCAATGGGATTTATCCAGTGGTAGGACAATCGATACAGGGGAAACACTTGCTCCTCATCCACCCAAATGTTCTCTGGCTGGGTGACATTGCCCACACACCCATCCACGGAAATGGGCAGCTTCTGAGAATTGAGTCCACCCGCTGCAATGGTAAACTGTGTGCCAAAGGATATCCAGCCAGCGAGCAGCGCACTGGCGACACCACCAACAGCAGTGCCCACTGTGTTGGCCCAGGGCACGAGCATTCCCAGTGTAAACAGACCAAAGGTTGTGCCCGCTGCAATGGCCGTCATCGAGGTGCAAATGCTGAGAATTCCACTCAGTTGTTCGAGGACAAACACCAGGGAAAGTGCCACAAATCCCAGGACTATGATGGTGGATTTGACCAGTATGGTGGAGGCTCTTTCGCTGGGCTTCATCTTGAAGCAGCCTCGCACAATGTCCTCCAGGATGACCAGCGAAGTGGAGTTAAGCACCACCGAAAGCGAGCTCAAAGCAGCGCCAAAAATGCCAGCAATAAAGAGTCCTGGCATACCATAGATATGACCCACACTTTGGACGACAAAGAGGGGCAACAGTTGATCGTCGTGCTAAGGGAGAAGAGAGTCAGAGTCAGATAAGCATAGAATTTATAACCTTTCCCGATTGAATCGAATCCCTTACCGTTATCAAACCAGAACTCAATGGATCGCAATCCTTGTACCGCTCAAAGATCAGCAGACCCACATAGCAGCATACAGAGACAAAGGCAGCCACTCCAATGGTAAAAATGGCCATTGAAGCACGAGCCTTTTTCAGCGATGGCAATGACATGTAGCGCTGCACCATTGTCTGATTCACCGCATTGAAGGAGGTCCAATAGGAGAAGCCCCCGATGAGCACGCTCCAGACAGTGTGACGCACATAGGGCGAGGGATCCGTGTTGGTAAAGATCAGACGTCCGCCCTTTGAGGCATCATCGAACAGGGCATCCCAACCATTGGCATAATAGGTGGCCAAAACAGCCACAGCCAGAACGGAGAGGAACATGACCAGCACCTGCCAGGCATCTGTATGGACGACAGCCTTGATGCCGCCCTGGGAATAAGAATTTAAAGTATTAAAAAATAAAATCAAAAATAAAATAAAACAAGATTTCTTACCACAAACGTATAGAAAACGCAAACAACTACGATGACCACTGCTATAACATGCAGATTGATGCCAGAGACTGTAAAGGTAAGAGTAATTAAAGATTAGAGAGGTAAGTATTTCCGAAGATTTTACAGATATATCTTACCCTGATTTAGAGCCAACGCTGGCACATAGACAATAAAAGGCAAAAATAGTATCTGAAGTGGTTTAAATATTAATTAAAATATAATTGAAGGAATCAGCATGTACGTACCTCATCCAGAATGAACATAAAAGATGCTATGCTTCGTATAACCGAATGGAAACGCATCTCCAGGTACTGCAAATTGAAGAGAGAAATTTATGATTTAATTAAGAGGGAAAGAGAGTTTCAGTGTAGAAAATGCAACAGATTATAACAAATTTAAAGAAGTTGTCAGAATTTTAATAAAGAAAATTGTATATAAATTATATACATCGATTAAAATAATTTCCCAGTAGGCTAAGAAATTTAATATTTTGTGAGAATTTTGTGGGAAAAAATGGAGCAGAATATTATAGTTATTTTATAAGTTATAAAAAACGTACACTTGCAAGGAAATTGTGGGAATTCTTAGGAAGAAAATTATATACCAGACTCTAACAAATTTCCCGGAAGACTAAGCAGTTTTATTTTAATTTTAAATATTTTGTGAGAAATACAAGATATTATTATAGTTATTTAAGAAGTTATGAACGCCATACTCGCATAAAGAAATCGTGGGAATTTATATGAAGAAAATATAATATAAATTTTTTTACAAAAATGGAATACATTTTGCGAGTTTTAATCAAATGAATTATACAAACTTTCACATCAGAGAGTATTATATGTATACGAGTATCATTAGATATATTACAATGGGCGCAGCGAAATAGTTAAGTCTGAAAGGCTGGCAATCAAAGCCAACCATAAGCCAGTGTTTAGAGTTCAGTATTCAGTTCAGTTCTATTGACTGACATGCAAGCCCAGTCACAGAGCAATTACCTCCCAAAGAACAGTGAACATTCTCCACACATGAGGTTTTGTTGTTTACTGTTCTTAAGGAAATAATTGCTCTGTGACTGCACAGGCAAGGGACACAAATAAACAAATAAACAATAGTGTTTCGGACAGTTGTCAAGTGGCTGCAAAAGCAAGTTTGTAATTAATCATATCGTAGACCCATTGAGACGACCGGACGCTATACGAACGCAACAAGTGGCCGAGACCAAAGTCCAAAAAGAAGCCTGCAACAATTAATGAAAATTCCGTTTCTCCCATTGATTGTAGGAAAAAAAAAAACATATGGGAAACAGCACACAGAGTACGAAAAACCTATGACACACAAATAATAAGTATTCTCTCTTGCTTGTCAGCGCTTAAATCTGTGACCGTAAATCAAATTATTTATGGATATTGTACCTCATAGGAAGAGCCAACTTGTAGAGCACAAAATACCGGTATATAGATATAGGACACAGCAATACCCTGCAGAACAATTGCGATGGCAATAAACCAGTATTGTGTGCCATAATTGTAGATTTCCGACGTGGTGCCAAGTATCGTAACCCCAGATATATAGCTGGAAATAAATTCGCAGTGATTAGATAGATAATAGATGTAGGGAAATAATCATTAAGGTAGGTGTCTCGTCTCACCTGGCTATTAGACTCATGGCAACGGGGAATACTTTGAGATTTCTGGATCCCAGCAGATATTCACTCATCTTTTCCGAACCAAAATCATGTTTCCTTCGCTCCACTGGCGTTGTTGTAGGCAATGTGGGTTCCGTCTCCGCCAGCTTTGGCTTACTCTTTCTATAACGAGTCATTCCGGTTAACCAATTTACGAAAATCTATGGGCCCATTACTCACTTCATGCATCCAAAATATATGCCAGTGGTTGTCGAGAGCACAATCATGCCCAGAAATACTATATAGTCAATGGTGCCAAATCTGTAGGTATTTTCATTGTTAATCTCCACCTGAAATAAAAGTATTGTTATTTGTTATTTGATATTTGATATGGGGGTGCAATTACAACTGCTAATCTGAGATTCGAAATCTTTGCTTTATTTCTTCTGTGTGTACAAGTGCGCGAAATGCAGATAAAACTTTCCAGACAAACGATTATACGCTAACTGAGTGCCCTATGGCTTATGTTGCTATAGCCTTACGGGGGGCTATCTAGAGAGTTGTTGTGGGACTGGCAGAATAAGTAATACCCTGTCTATATGTCCGACATAATGTAAAAATTTCGAATTTAGAGGATGTTCTTCTATACGTAGGGGAGAATGCGATTATTATTAGCCAGCTGAAGCTTATTCCTTCCAGAAACACTGACTACGGACCGAGAGGTGCTGCTGCATTACGCACGAAAGGTGTTATTTTCTACTCTTATAATATGATAAATTGTTCATAGACTTGCCTTACTTTATTATGGAATAATTCCCAATTTCAACATAATTTCAATGTCGCTGAGAAGATAAAACATATCTTTAGATATGCACAATAGTACTATGTAGATATTTATTATATATTTTATGGATAAATACGATCATTTACAGACCTATATATAATACTATGAAAAATAATTCATATTTTCCTATGGGGGATAATTACGGCTTTTCTAAGTCAAAGGAGATGTCCCATAAATCAATAAATTTAAAAACCCTTCTTCTGCATTCCCAAAATCTCTATTTGGGTTCGTTAACCCATGCAATATTACCCCAAATTAAACCTTATCACAGATCCTGGGCTATATTTGTGTCATTCATTCCACTGCCAAGATACTCAGAGTTAAGATCTTTACTCTTTAAATCCTAACAATACCATTCCGTATCACGGCTGTAATGGCCCACACACGGTTGGAGCCCAATCTCAGAGACTTTAACCTTTTACGCAATGCCTCCGCACAGCATTATCGCTTCTGGACTTTGTAACAGATGCCCCCGACTCCGTTTCACTCGTCTCCGTCTCTCTCTCTCCCTTTTTGACTGATACACAACGGACAGACAGGCAAAAACAACACACACGGATTTTGTTTTGCATATTTCCAAATTTATTCCATATTTCGTATTGCGGGCTTTGATTAAAGGTGTTTGTGGTGTGAGCTAGGGAGATAGGTACGTACCGCTTCCATGGCGCTCATGCTCGTACCGGTAACGGTAAGTGATTGCTTGTGCACTGGAACTGGAGCAAAGAAACGCCGCTACAGCAGCAACAGAATTGTGCGTTGCTCACGAATGTCAACAACAAAAGCAATACACGCTAAAACACCAACACACGCAGAAAAAAAAGGGTCGTTCGGAATGTCTCTATTTTGGCAGCGTTTCGAAAACACTCATTACAGCACAGCACAGCACTTTGAACGTAATAATAAATCATACAGAAATGGAACACACGACGAGGAAATTGAAAGTGAAAATGAAAGTTCATGCGGCACACATTCTATACGTTTCTTTGGAAGCCAGGCCAAAAATAAATGAAATATTCCACACACATTGAGAACGAGCAAAACAGAGAAGCGCCAAGCCAACGACAACCAAAACCCCACAAACCGAATCGAAACTGCACCCGATGGCTGGTGGGGCTAGCTGTTAAATACAACAGCAAATATACACACCAAAGCTCTACCTCTCTCCCACCCAACACCCAGAGAGAGAGAGAGAGAGAGAGAGTGTGTGAGTGGGCTGAGAGAAAGCTTCTTGTGGGTTTTTAATCAGCTCTCTATCCACTCTCCTCTCTCTTGCTCTCTATTAATGGCCCTGCAAGTCTGTATGATCAGCGTATGATAACAGTAATATTATGCTCAAGGGGGCTGTTAGGCGGGGATTGAACGGATATGGGATGATATGGTACTGTGTAATCATAAACTTTCCTTTGTTTCATTTACAACCAACATCTCTGCTGCATGTGAGCTTTGCTTTAAGATATATTTTGAGTTATTTAAAGCTGCGTAACGTATCGGTTTAGTTCGGGTTGTAAAGGGATTTTGCCTGCCATTTCCTAGTTGCTGTAAAAGCTTTCAAATGACATTCTTGAAAGTTCTTTTTGGTCTGTCTGCTGTCTGTCGAGCATCCTATCTTTGATACTTAAAGCTCAATAAATATGATTTAAAGTCAGTGCTGGATTTGGGGCTTCTGCCCCGAGGCCTCCACAAGAAAGGGGCCCCAACAAGTCAGTCAAGAGTAACCATATGTAACATATATTCTGGAATGCTTTTTTCAACTTAAAACTAAACCATATTTGATATTTATTAATCTAATCAATTCAGTGCTTATTTTATTTATTCATTTTCAGATATTTTATTTTTTATTTAATTTATTTTATTAATTTAAAAAAAATTTTTTTTTTGTTTGTCGTTTTCCGTATTAAAATATGTATTGAAAAACTCCAATCGATAGCGCTAGTTGAGGGCATGAATAAATTGCGACAAGTACTACGAGTATTTCGAACGGGGAGCAACCACAACAAACGATTGCACAATTGTCAGTGGCAATGTTTTTCCCATTTCCACCATTGGCCAACGTATTTACCATTTGCATTGCGTTGCGGGCCAAATCTAATTGGATTAGGGAAAAAAACCTCACGCCGCCCGGCCAAGACCCAGGGGCCCAGCCAGCAGCAGTCACAAGGGGAACACGCAGCAGGCCTGATGGCATGGCGGATCCACAACTAGAGCTGGAAATGCCACCAAGAATAGGATTACATATAAACCACAGCCATGAGCGAGCGCCACATAAAACCCATCTTCAAGCGAAGGACGAGCGCCTCCACGAAGAACCCCAGCGCCAGCGCAAGCAGCCCCTTAATCATTGACTATGAGCGCATGGAGGGGGAGAATGGAGCCAAGGCTATGCTTCCAGCAGCTGCGCCAGCACCACCCACTGGAGGACATGGCAAGCTGCTGCTCAAGCTGACCTCCTCAAAGATTTCACTGCGTAAGAATCCGCCCCAGGAACAGCGACAGCAGCTACAGACCCTGCCCATTGCCGAGGCAGTGCGTCGCAAGTCGGCGCCACAGCTGTTCACCTTCACCATTTCACCGAAAGTGGAGGGCAGCTCCGCGGACACGCCCACCGTGCCCAAACTGGAGCTGAGCAACTGCATCATCCGACGCTCGCGGACACTGGGATTGCCTGGGCCCATCCAACCCACTCTGACGGAGATACCCCTGGAGGAAGCCCAAGTCCAGGACAGCGGCAGCGAGCCCAGCAGCAGCCTGGCTGGAGGGGGTGGCAGTTCCACCTCCCCGGAGTCGCTGCTGGACAACATCTTGAGCGGTGCCTCGTCGGTGTCCGTGCAGAGCAGCAGCAGCAGCAGCCAGGCCAGCAATGTGACGGTGGCTCAGCCACAGATCAGAGCCAAGGCCGAGCAGCTGCATCCCAAGCGATTGCTGAGTCTGAAGGCCTCCCCAGAGCTGAGGGTGTCGCCACCCACGCCGGACACCGCACAGCCCAGGCAGGAGTTGCTGCCGCGATTGCTCCTACATTCCGTGGAGCGGCCACCCACACTGGAGATCTACAATGCACACAGTCCCCAGATCCGAAGTCGCTCCAATTCGCCAGCCATCACGCCCTCGCCCTCACCCAGCATCACGCTGAGACCCAGCACCCCACCGGAGACATCTTTGGTCACCTTCACAGATGATCTCAAGTGCGCCATCTGCATGGATGTGTACACGGATCCGCGCACCCTGCACTGCCTGCACTCGTTTTGCCTGCAGTGTCTGGTCAATGAGAATTTCAAGGAGGAGGCCTGCGCCACATGGGATCAGGATCAGTCACAGAGCGAGGTGCCCTCCAACTACAGCCTGCGCTCAGAGATGGGCGGTTCGAGTGCAGAGCTGGCGACGGTTTCCCCAGCCAGGCAGCGTGGTGCCAGCTTCAGTTTGAGGCGCAAGAAGTCCATGGATCGACTGGTGGTTAGGGTACGTCATTGACAGCACTGCTACTTGCTCTACTCTAATTTGACTGCTCTCTTTTACTTAGTCAAAGAGCGATGGCAAGCGCTCCACTAGTTCCTTTAGCACTCGCTTCACGGGCAGCTTTGTCAGCGACATTGCCCCACGCTGCATACGCTGCCATGTCTGCCAGTATCCAACGGATGTGCCACTGGGTGGTGTGCGTCTGCTGCCACAAAACTACTTGCTGGTGAGGCGCATTGAAGTGCTGCGCCTACAGGCAGGCGAAGATGTCATTTCGAGGGTGTGGTGTTCGCTCTGCAGCGATGAGATTAGTGTAAGCAAAAGGAGTTCTTCCCTGGGAGGAGCCTGTCTTGACTTTCTGCTTTTCCAGGCCACCTATCACTGCATCAGCTGCACCCTCAATCTGTGCTCCCTGTGCAAAGAGGCGCACGAGCGGCAGCGTTCGACAGCCAATCATCGCATGAGAGGCATACTGGAGCTCAGGCGCGCACGCAAGCAAAAGCAGCAGCAGCTGGGACTCGGAGATAGCAGCAAGCTGGTGCTAAAGTGTGGCCTCCACACGAACTTTGAGCTGAAGGCCTTTTGTGTGGTGTGTCGACAGTTGGCCTGCACGGATTGCCTGGTGCTGCTGCACAAGGGACATCGGCACGAGAACATAGCCCGGGCCATTGGACAGCAGGGAAAACTCCTCAGAGAAGCCACCGATCAGACGCGTCCGCTGTGCCAATATGCCGAGCATTCGATCGAAAGGCTGAACGAGATAGCCAGGGGCATCAATGCCAGATGCGATGATATACACAGCCAGGTGGAGCGCCATATGCAGGGTTACTTCGAGGCAGTCGAAGTGCATCGAAGGACGCTGCTGCAGCAGATAAGTCGCGCTAGGGAGTCCAAAGTGGAGATTATACTCAAGCAGCAGTTGGATTTGGGTAGGAACTATCTTCAAAATAATTATTCTAGTAGCTCTAACCAAGTTTATCCTTTAGAAAAACGCACTCAGGAGGCCATGGATGCTATACGCTTTAGCCAGGAGCTGTGCGAAATTGGTGCCGATGCAGAGATACTCAGTTTTGTGGGCATTCTTCTCAAACGTTTTGAGTTTTGCCAGCAATTCAAGCCGCCAGTGGATCCCAAGATCTCCGATTCGCTGCACTTTCTGCCCAAGATACGGGCACCGGCCACCAAGGATCAGCGGGATATACCGCTGTATGGCATCATTACCATGCAGGTGGTGGAGCCATCGCTGTGCACTCTCGAGTGGGAGGGCTTCTCCCAGCTGCGACTCCACAAGAAGGCCGATCTACTGCTGCACTCGCGCGATGCGGATGGCGTTTCCCTCTGTCATGGTGGGCTGCATATCAACTGCATGATCAAGTACAAGGACTCCACTTCAAAGTTTCTGCCCATCGATGTGGCGGACAATCGTGATGGCAGCTATAACATCTCCTTCACGCCCGACTCTCAGGGCACACTGATCCTCACGATCACCATCAATGAGCGGCCCATCAAGAGCAGCCCCTTCACGTTCCAGGCCAGGCAAGTTCGTCCACACACGGGCATTTATCACTGCTGTTCCTTCTGTTCCGGCAAGGGCAGCCGGAGTGTCAAGTGCAGCTGCGAGGGACGTATGCCGGGCTACAGTGGCTGTGGGCATGGTCATGCGGGGCATCCGGGACGTCGTCACTGGTCCTGTTGTGGCAATGTCCTAGAGAACTCGGAATGTAATGTGGCCAACAAGTTGCTGAATGCTTAGCCTGTTCCACTGGGCCACGTGGCTTGGGATACCAAATAGATATCAATCTTGGGTATAAATAAGCTTCATTTCTGATTTGATTAGCAAAATTTTTAAAATATAAAAAAAAACGAGAAGGAACGTGTGAGTCGCTTCTGTGGACGCGACTCTACTTTTATACCCGTACTCGGTCAGTATATAAATTTGTGAGGTTATGATCTATGTAGAATTTTAAAACATTTTACATTTTTTTTGCTACATCTTTTATCTACATACACAATGTATATTATACATCTAACATGCAGATTCTACATGTACCATTTAGATTCTACATCTCCTCCGCTAGAGGGCGCTCGCGTACCTAACGAGGCAGAGTGTGCGAGTCAGAAAGAGAATGAATATCGGGATTATTGCTGTAGAAGGGGGGGAAGCAACTCAATTAATTACTTCATTCTGGCTATAATTATGATCCGATCTGATTCAGATTCGGCAACCTGGTATATATGGATATTATCTACGATACTGCGTTTTTAGTTGTATCGTATCTTCAAAATTGTGGCTGCCACAGATTATCGTCCTTTGTGGGGAAGGAAGGGGGTGGGGCGAAATTTTGAAACACACTTGTAGCAGTGTGATATCACATGAGTCTGGAAACAAAATTTTCAAAGTTTCCTTCTCTGTGTTGCACACATCCACTTTTTTAACAAATTTAGTATACCACCTAACTCTTCAAGTACGGGCATAAAAAAACAAAGTTTTAAATATATAAAAATATATGCAATATTTATTAGCGTCCTGCATGTACATGCAACGCAGTCGCTTCGGAATTGGCATTGTATGGTCAGTGAGAATCAGCGTCTCAGTTTTCGCATTCCATCAAAAGTCACTCCCCTAAACGGAATGAAACGCAGCAGGTATCAGACATTTTTACTACGTTAAATCCGAAAATTTCGGTTTTTTTCATCGCTCACTCTACATGGTAGAAGAAATAAATATATCAGGTAGAAAGTCAGCCTTCCATATGGTTATCACATGGCAAAAACCAAACCCTGATGCACACACAGATACTATGTTATGTACTTTTTCCTGATCTTTTAGAACTCAAGTTCCCATTTTATTCATTTTAAATTGCATGGAAATACATGTTAATTGTTGTTGGGGTTGGAGATGAAGAGACGTAAAAAATATATAGTTAGGGTGCTTTTGTTGTGATCGAAGCGCATGTCTCGCGGTTCGGGATATATCTCAAATTAAAAGGGTGTGTCCTTGAGATTAAACTAGGTAACTAATTATATATGGGTTTAATATTATGTACTCGGGGCTTTTCTGGGGAAAAACTTCTACTCATGGGTCACACGCTTGGGGCAACCGAGGAGGGAGATGCTAGTCCTCGTTATCGGAGTACCAGGAGAGGCGCTCCTCGTAGAAGGCAATCACCATTTGTGGTATCTTTAGATTGGCTATTGACGATGGCACCATCTCGGCTTGGTCCACACCTTTGAACTGAATCAGGAATGTGAGGCGGCCATTGTTGTCGGAGGCCCCCAGTATTTTTTCGGCCTCCTGGCCGCGATCAAAGCCTGTTGTGGTCGAACCATTCGAGTCGCTGCTATCCTGGTCAGGCTCTGAGCGTTTTGATTTGCCATTTGGTGCTGCTAGAAAAAAAAACAACAATTACATGAAAAATCCAATTTGGATTTCTGTGGTTGGGGGGGTCACTCACCTGCCGACGGCTCCTCTGATTTGCGTTTGCTGGCTGGCACACCGGTGCCAGTGGAGCTGCGTCCCGTTTCCTTCACTTTGGCACTGCTGCCGGGACGATCCTTCTTGCCGCCACCCGCCTTCTCCTGATGAAACGAAAACGAACAAGAAACGAATTCCACTTTAGAGTCTGCGAAAGCAACTGTACCCCGCCAGGCCACGCATACATACCTCATCCTTGCGACTCAGCTCGTACTGCTGAATAAGATCTTGACAATCGAGATTGCTTTCCGGCTCCCATGTGTTCTCGGTCTCGGCATAGCCCTTCCACTTCAGATAGTATTCAACCTTTGGAAAACGAATTGAAACAACTCCGTTGAAGACAACAGCAGCACAGCGTCTAAGGGGGCTGGGCAGCATGGTAGACGGGGACTATCGGAGGCGGCAACTCACCTTTCCCTTGCGCACACGACGATCCAAAATCTTCTCGACGGCATACTCCTCCTCCTCCTCCTCGTCGGACTGTGTGCCATCGGCATTTTCGGGATTTTCAGTCTTTTTGCCCATTTTTTTTTGTATATTAAGCGAACTTTTGTTTAATGGAAAAAGAAAATGTGAGAGCACGCACACACATACACGCACAGGCACGCCAGTGCAAAAATGCGGGCGCAAAAAAAAAGGGGGGAAAAAACTCTTTTAGCGGCGAATTGTTTGGATTCCAGTGATTTCTACACTCACCACTTGGCTGGGTTAAATAAACAGGAAGAAGCAGCAGCTTGGTATACTGGTTATAACGTCCTCGCCGAAATATTGCAGAATGAAAAAAATGTCCCACAAAAATGCGCCTTCTGAAGTGACGCCGGTCCTGCGATGCGTTTAACAGAACTGATTTCCAGTGTGGCCAACACTTTTTAGTAAAATGGCTAGATTAAAAAAGGCTAAAATATAACATATTAAACAAATTTGTATTGTAATATACGGTATTCGAAAAGCTTAGGGCTATACTAAATTCGTCTGGATGTACGAAATAGTCAGAAGTCCTGTTCTTCCACGCATATCGACGATTTCACTGATTTAATATTGCTTTAAAAACAGCTAGATCCGGCTGGAAAAAATCAGATTTGGCAATACTGCTGTTTTCGTTACTACTACCACACCACTACTGCACCCAGCGGTGCTTCGCAACACTTACTGTCAAATTAGCGCGAATTTTTCATTTTATTGCAAATCTCTGAATAAAATCAACTAATAATGCCGAAAATAAAGAAGAAGCAACAATCCTCGTCGTCCGGCAGTGACAGCGGCCCCGAAGACGTATGTTAACCATTAATCTATTCATAAATATTCTTCTAAACACTTGTTTGCCACACAGCGCAACCAGCCGGCAAGCAAGAAAGCCAAGGAATCTGCAGCACCCGCAGCCGCGGCCAAAAAGCCTGTCTCTGGTGGTGGCGGAGATGGGGAGACCACCACCTGGACGCTGGAGAGAATGCGTCAGGTACGCATCAACGAGTTCCGTGGCCGCAAAATGGTCGACATCCGTGAGTTCTACGAGAAGAACGGTGAAACGTTGCCGGGCAAGAAAGGCATCTGCCTGTCGATACTGCAGTGGAAAAAACTGCTTGAGCACGCCGACGAAATCACAAAAGCTGTCGAAAACTAATATACCGTACGTGCGTGCGCGTACCCGAAAAAATGATAGCGCTGAGTCATAGCAGATAGAGTTTTGTTTAACTAACGTTAAAGTACATACATTTATTTTGTAACTACGAAGAAATACAAATAAAAGATATCTTAGACATAGCAATAACAATTAGAATAACCATTGGAAAGACGCCCCATTCCGCCCGCAGCACTCACACTAAAAGTAAACCGCCAGCAGAACAATAATGGTGACGAGGATGGCAAACGGCAGCCACGTCTTGAGTATGCCCCAGATGCTAGTGTAACGCCCGCAGACAAAGAGCCACATACTGAGAATGATCATGTTCCAGCTGCTGCTGTTTTTGTAGCGCATATTGTTGAGAGCCGTTGCCACATGCGAGTGGCAGTTGTCGCAGAAAATGTTGTGTATCCTCGTGCCGTACAAAACGGAGGCTTTGGACACGGCTTCGTCCCAGGCATTGGTGCCGCCCTGGGCGTATTTCGGATGCAGGCGCAAGTAGCGCGTTGGATTTCCAAAGGCCATCTGGTCCTCGGAAACAAAATAGGCTCCAGCAAAGTCGCGTATCACACCGTTGGAGGTGCAAATGCCCATGTGACCGATCATGGGAAGGATCCATGTCAACACTGGAATGGGGGTCCACACAATGCAGTAGGGATAGCGATTATCATCCTTGTTGACGGGCGGCAATCGTTCTGCTACTCCACCCATGGTCACCGTGATGTCCTCCGACGTCTGTCTCTGGTGCTCGTGATTTGTGGGGCTGGACTCTGACGGCGACGGCATTATTTAAACTAAAGTATGAACAACAAACCACCAACTACAGTCACTCACGCTCACTAATTAATTTGAGGCCGGAATGCTACTTATTGATCGAAATTTCCCGATTGTGAGTAAACTTTTATGATAAGATGAAAATAAAGCAGTACAAGCGCTAACACACATACGCTTGCGAGGAGTGTGCGTGTGTTAATTGATGTACAAACAAAACACACACATTGATATTTACTTTGACAGTGTTGGAAAATGCTATACAGCGAACAGCTGTTGTTGATACTGTGGCCGTGGGGAGGAGGTTTCGTTTCTGGTTGGACAACTTGTAATTGAAATTGAAAGGTCTTAGCAATGACACAGGTGTTCATAAATGGCGCAAGAGACGAGCTCAATGTGCAAGAGCATGATAGCTTAGGTAAGATTGCGACAAACGTAGCAGGGCACGCACTAAATGGTTTCCTTTTGCAGATCCATCGGTGCAGGAGCTAATTCGTGCCGCAGCGGAGGCCAGGAAACAGGCATATTGTCCGTATAGCAACTTTGCTGTGGGTGCTGCTCTACGCACCAGTGATGGCTCCATCTACACGGGCTGCAACATAGAAAACGGCGCCTACGCAGCTAGCATTTGTGCCGAACGCACAGCTGCCGTCAAGGCCATTAGGTGATTATATTTATGTCAATGGAGCAATGGAACAACAAGTACATATATGTTATTTCTCGAATCTTTGCAGCGAGGGCAAGCGCGACTTTGTGGCCTGTGCTGTGGTGGCCCAACAGGACAATGGCTTTACCACGCCCTGCGGCGTTTGCCGCCAATTTTTGTCGGAGTTTGTCAATGGCAAGGACATCCCATTGTACGCTGCGCAGCCAACCAATTTGCCGTTGCGTGTCCTCTGCACCAGTGTGCTCCAATTGCTGCCCAACGGTTTCCGCTTTCTCAATGGCAAATAATGGACAGGCAACGGGGATGAACTGAAAGCCAGAGGCATCATCGGTTTTAAGTGCAATACTTTTATGTGTAATTCCCACTTTGTTATGTGTAAATCCACCCCCCTACCCTCTTGTTGATTGAACTACTGCTGAAAAGAGTGGCATCGCATCTGTTTGTTGTTTTCACTTTTCCCAGCGATCGATCGATCGATCGTTTTGGTGTGGCGCTCTTGCGGCTCTTATCAAGAAGCGCTCTCCCTCTCTCGGAGACTCTCCCTCTATGCTGGCAAAGTGTTTATTTTTGCCACCACCATAAAAACAAAACGCACAGAATAATCAGCCATAACCATTGTTAACGTTGGGCGGCAGCGTCACCACAAACCGTCCATTTGCCAGCGGACATTCGAAGGAGAAACACGGAACCGCGCGCAGCCAATTTTGCTATTAATATCATTTTGACGACCAGCCAGACTCCTCCAAAAAAAATATTAAATAATAATCATGTCGCATCTGTTGGAGAACTTTGCCCGCCCCGAAAAAACCGAAGAGGTGGTTACATATGGCAGTCTTGGTAAGAATTCCCTTCCTTCCCGCAAAACTGTGGTGTATTTTCAGTGAAATTTTGGCTTGCAGATTCCGCCGTACAAGAGCTACTGCTGGCCGCCTCTGCAGTGCGTCAGCGTGCCTATGCTCCATACAGTGGGTTCAAGGTGGGTGCAGCATTTCGGGCCACCGTCAGCAATCAAATCTTCACCGGCTGCAATGTGGAGAATGCTGCATTTACGCCGTGTTCCTGCGCCGAACGCACAGCCCTCACAAAGGCCGTGAGCGAGGGTGCCACCGAGTTCTCGATGGGTGCTGTCTTGGCTTATGAACAGGATGTATTTACCACACCCTGCGGCGTGTGTCGGCAGTTTATACGGGAGTTTGCCACCAGCGATATACCCATCTACATAGCCCAGGCCATTGATGAGAGGATTGCAAATAAAGAGGAACCCATGCGCAGTGATGATCCCGTGCTGTGCACATCAATTTTTAATCTGTTGCCGAGCAGTTTTCGCACGTATAGAAAGTAGTCGTTAGTCGTCGGAGAGAGGAGAACCCGTGGTACAAGCGAAGAGCTTCGAAGCTGCCCCCCCATAATCAAAATTAATCTATATCTTTACAATCTAATCATTTGAAATAAAGAAAATTACACTATTCAACATGAGTGTGGACTGGAATAACAGATTGAAGATAATACTTTGAATGGGCCATATATTTGTTGATTAAACTGATAACAAAACCTTCCCAAAAAAAATGTTATACTCGTAATAAATCAATCCAAAAAGTGCATAGAAATAACCAGATAAAAACAAAGCTTAATCTAGGGGAATACCCGTTAAAAAATATATGTATATAAGACCCGCCATAAATCGATCCAAAAAGTGCATCAAAATTCCTAGATAAAAACAAAGCAAAACAAAAGAATTCTTAGAAAAAACACTAAGCTGAAACTACGGGAATGCCCGTTAAAATAAATATGTAATAGCCGTATTAAATGAATCCTAAAGGTGCACAGAAATATTTATAAAAAAAAACGAAGCTAAATCTAGGGGAATAACCGTTTTCGAAGGCTTTCTAATCATAGCAATCTGCTTGCTCTTTCCCTTGTCTATCATTTTTTACTTTCTCCACAAATTCCAGTATTCCCTTTTAGGCTTTATAGAAAAAAACAAAAGTTAAATTTTAAAATTTTAAATCATGTCTGATAAACGCAAATTGCTGAAGAAATACATGAAATGTCTGGACGAGATGAAGAACGAGCTGAAGCGGCGACAGCTAAAGAAGACTCTCAAGACCCACATGAAGACTCTGAATGAATTGGAATGCGAGATAAGCCGACGAGAGGGCAAACAAGCTGAGATGGGAAAACGTGGACGGGTGTGTGATTCGACGAATCTGCCACATCAAAAGATTCTGGAGGAATACACCATACCATTCTGTCGTTTAAGTGAGTAAAGAGGAGAGCAGTGAACCCTCTATAGAAAAAATAATGTCTCGCATTAACACAGCTGAAGATGCCAGAGAGCTGCTAGAGTCTGCTCTGGCCGCGCGCAAGGATGCCTATGTGCCATATAGCAAGTTTCCGGTGGGCGCCTCCTTTCGTTCCAAGTGCGGCTACGTCTATTCCGGCTGTAACATTGAGAATGTGGCCTTTACGCCGGGCTGCTGTGCCGAACGCACGGCCCTGGCCAAAGGTGTGAGCGAGGGTCAAATGACGTACACAGCGGGTGCAGTGGTGGCCTATCATCCCAAGGGTTTCACCATGCCATGCGGCGTGTGCCGTCAGTTTATACGCGAGTTTGCCTGCAAAGATTTCCCCATCTACATAGCCAAGGCGCCGGGACCGGAGAGGGCCGATGCCATTCCAGCCATTGAGGACGAAGATGAGGTGCTGGTCACCTCTGTGTATCGCCTGTTGCCCTACAGCTTCAGTACATTCGAATAAAGCAATAACTTTAATCGTCAACATAAATTTAAGTGTCTCGAGCCTTAAACATATTTCACCACGGGTTCGCCCGAACCGTAGATGGCATACTCGCTCTTCTTGGCAAACGGTGTAATGGCCTCGTACACCATCAGGGGCTTCACTTCCACATTGAATTTCATGGCGCGGAACTGAGGATCGGTGTAGTTTTCGCGCACTTCTGTGCTCATGCCCGTATGTGGCACCGATTTGGTTGTATTCTGGAACTCGCAGCGACGCTTGGGACAGTCCTTGGCCGGGAAGTCATCGCACATTGTGGCATCCGGATAGCGGGCGACCTTCTTCGCGGGCGTAAACTTTTCCGACCAGTTCCAGAATGTCACATTATCGTTGGCAGCTATGCCACCCATTAGCTCATTGGGTGGATATCGAACGTACGACAGATTGTAGGTGGTGGCCGAGGGATCTGTGTACTTGCTAAACCCAATCTTGGAGCGATCGATAATCAGTTTGGTGGCCTCCACAGGCGTTGGCATGGCATTGCGTATGGGAACCACATCCACTGGCAATGTTTTCTCCACAAAGGTGTCCTGAGTAACGCTGCTAATGGGTTTTATTTTGCGTTTAATAAAACGCAAATGTCCCTGCTCGAACGGTTTCATGTACTGTGATTTCATGTTGAGCGATGGATTGCGCAAAATATTTGGATCGCCATACTAAAAAGAGAATTAAGGAGGGGTGGGGGGGGTTCATTAACTATGGAAAATAAGCTTCTGGTCACCTGAAACTTACCTGCCACTCATAGTTGGCTCCATATTCGGTATACTGCTTGTCATGCATCAGCGGATCCCGCACATAATTGCTGTGGCTACAGATCTTGGCATTCAGTTTGTTGCCCATGCGTAGATCTGTGATAAGGCGATGGCCGCGATAAGTGGAGGTGCGCATATCCGCCACATTGGTGCTGGCCGGCTGCTTATAATCGTAACAACCAAAATCATCCATGGCTAAAGAGGATATGCCTAACCGAAAAAAAACTAAACTGAATAAAGCGTGGAAAACAATTTGGAGTGTTCTTCTTGTTAAGCTAAATTTTGGAACGTTTCTTTTCTGCTGTGTTGCCAGGGGCTACCGGTTCCAAGCAATATAAAATAAATACAACCTATTGACAGCTAACAAACAGCTGGTTGCGTTTTTCTGTACAATAATAATTCACGTTTTATATAATTCAGTTTTAAAATACAATAGAGATTATACCGTAGATTTATGTGTGTTGTAGTTTATGGAGAGGAATGCTCGGTAGACAAATATAAAAGCGCTCTGTTTCACAAAACAAATTGAATATTCGTTAATACAAAATACAAATAAAAGGGCGCTCGACAGCTATACCGTTACTGCTGCCCGTGTAATAATAAACTGTTTGCTTAGCAATTAAACAATTGATTTACTTCATCTTCATGTAAGGGTGGGGGGGGGGGAGCGGTTGCGTGGCAATGTGAAAAACAATGTGCGAATGACTCTTAGCCAGTGCCTCAGGCAATCTCCTTGATGGAGATAAGCGATTGACGCAGATATTCATATTGGGTTTTGGCATGCTTGATCTCCAGTTCAGAGAGCTCCACGAGACTGCAAATAAGAGTGAATTGTCATAAGGAAACTTTACGGAAAACTATAATGTAGTTACCTCTTTTTGATGGCTGCCACACGACGATTGCGAAAGCCAATCAACTCTTCCTTGCCGCAGGCAGACATCGATTCAAATTTCTCACAAGCCTCCGCCTGAGCAGTTTCAGCCTAAATGTTAAGCAAATTAAAAGAATTAATGGGATTTCTAATCAAAGGCAAGTTTGCGCCACAACAAGACATGCTATAGGGTGCCATAAAGGTGTAAGGACATGCAGCGTTTAAGTGGGGGTCGGCATACACATCTACTAATTGGTTGAAGAGTACACGATATAAAAACGTTAAATGCCAAATACCTCTTGCACCTCCAAAGGCTGCAGAACGACACAATGAACCACAATAAACACACGCACAAAGAGTGACAGAGGAGGAGGGAAGACAGCAGAGGCAGAGAGGCGGAGAGTCAGAGCAGAATGTGTAATATTTTTGTGAAAGGGAAAATACAATTTGTTTTTTTGTTTTATATAATTAGTGAAGCGTGTGAATTATTTGACCCGCTGCAAAACTTTTTGTTAGGGCAAAACAATTGCACTTGTAAGTGTATAGAGAGATTATGCCACTACCCTCCCCAAAATGCTTACCGCATGAACATCCTTGTTCTTGGAGCGTGCCTTCTCCAGATTGCGATTGGCCGTCTCGTAGGCGGCCAGGCACCGCAGGCGTCGTATAAGCAGTGCCTTGGCCGCATCACTGTCCCGTTGATAGTAGCGCAAAGTGTCGCCCAGCTTCAGGTCCTGATCACTGGCCACACGGGTTTCCAGATTCTAAAATAAAGGTAGGGTTTAAATGGGAAATAAAAGGATTTAGAGATAATAGACAATTACCTTGACGCGTTCAAATATCTCTGCTGTCTTGGCCACAAATGTCTCCACGTTTCCCTTCTCTGTGGTGGACAATTGGGTGAGAGCATTCGAGATTTTCTGATGCGAATCGCCCACATCCTTGTGGCGCTGTGTCATCTTCTCGGTGCGTAGCGCAGCCTCACGCAAATGCCCATGGTATTCGGTGAGGAACTGCAATTCATTCTCAAAAAAGTCATTCACATCGCGCACTGTGGCGCTTAACAGAATTTCATCTGTGGTCTTGCCCAGAGACTTGACAAAGCCACCAAAGATGGCCATCTTCTTGCGCGGCTTGGCACACAGATCCTGATCGTATTCGAGAAAGACTTTCAAATGCTGATCCACACGAAAGACGGGATGACTGGCCAGGCGACGCAGAAACACCTCGTGCATGGCCACCGTCTTCTTAAAGGTGGCCAAGTACTCGCTGTAGACAAAATAAACAACAGGAATGAGTTTAGTTTTAATAGGAAAATGTTGATTACACTTACGCCTCCAGTTCGGATTTCATTTTCTTAAACTCCTCTTTGGTCATATTGCCCTCACCCTCGCCCAGCCGCTGTAGTTTCTCACGCGAGGCATCAAAGTCCGGACGTGGTGGACAGGGGGGAATCTAAAATGCCATCAATTAGTGTTTTGTTCAGCGTCTCTCGTTTTCTATAAGTGAACTCACAATGTAGCCCGCATAGTCTTCGTTCTCCTCGATGCGATCGTGCAGCCACACAAATTCCTCGTGCTGCCGCACCACATTGTTGTCCTTTTTCGTGAATCCTGGCAGCGTTGTACGCGTATGCACCGTGAACTTTACTTTCTCCTTCTCGCTCAGCGCATCAGAGATCTCCACATGCAGGGCATTCTCACCCAGCGCGGCGGGTGTCACTGGGGCCGAGGAGGCCGAGCTGTCCGGCGATGTGGCCGAGCCGCTGCCATTTGTTGCTGTTCCTGTTGCTGGCGGCGGGGGTCCTGCCAGTGGATTTGTGGGCGAGGCTATCTCCAGGGTTGCCCCATTGTTGGTCGAGGAGGGACTGTTTAGTATATTTGACTCATCCGTGCCGTCCTACAAGTGCAATAAACAACAAATACACACAAATTCCAATTACATACGCCCATATTTTTGTTGATAAGCATTTTCTTTGTGTGCGTGTGAGGCGTCATTTGAATTTAGTTCAGAATGCATTCTCAGCACTTTTTATCGCTTTTTTTTGGATTAACACAAGGATGAATATCTTACTGGGGCAGCAGCTTACCATCATTTTGTAAATGTGAATTATAACAATTTAATTGGGGCTAAAAACAATAATTATTTTTATAAATTACTCGGCAGTATCGATATCGATATGCTAATATTTATAGTATATCGATACTGGAATGCGATACTTAAGTTGATAATGATATAAAAATTTAAAGCGATATTTTCCGATATTTCTTACGATATATCAAACATATCGTCAAACATTTTTTTTGTCATAATGGTATGACAATATTGCATGATGACTGTTATTACCAGAACACAATGTCGGAAGTTATTTTCGAAGGAAGGTCCTGGCCCTCGCTTAACACGAACTCTTTTAATACAACTCGGTCTTACACGGCTATAAATTTGCTGCCTTTTCCTTTTTAGCACGCTCAAGACCTCTTTCTTACACGATTGCAAAATATCGAAGTTCATTTTTTTTGTCAATTATGCCTTAGTGTGTTTTTGTACGCAGTGAATAAAACAAAAATTGTTCTAACAGATTTGGGGCCTTACAAATAAGAAAAGGATAAGATAAATAAGATTAAATATTGTAATTGTAACTATAACTCTTCTGTGACTAGTGCATTAAAAATAAGTTTTACTTGTAGCACTAGGCCAAAAAATATATAAATGCAAATACAAACGAAAGGGAATTGTAATTTTGGTTTTACCGAATAGTTTTAGTGCTTTAAAAATTCTGATCCGCTCATCAAAAGACGATTTAAGGGAGTTGGAAAAAATACTTTTACCTCATAAAGAGCGTTACAAAGAAGCTTTAAAAGCCACTAAACAATCTAAAATGACTGATTTCTTTGAAAAACCAGAAAGGCCACTAAAAAAAAAAACATTTTAGTTCATGGTGCACGGAAAAGGTTTGTCCAAAAACGTATTGGCCGTGATAGGCGACGGCAATGCAGCAAATGGAAATGCAGGGGAGCACGCATACTTAGGAGCTTGAGACTGCTGTTGGAAAAGTTTTTCGGACTGTGCCCGTCTGACGAAATAAGTCTACCCAATCTCAATACTGACGACCTGGAGATCCAGACATGTCTGCAGAGCGAGATCAGTTTGTTAGCAGCCGGGCACGTACCGGAGCTAAACAACGAAGAGGAAACTCCAATATTTTTAGCAAAATTTGCAGGAGTGTTCATGAAGCTGGAAGACGTTAGGTAGTATCTCATACAAATAAATGAACTCAAAAATAGATATACATAAGTTTTTTTATTAGTTATTGATTACACTAGTCAACACGATTTTTCCTCAAGGAACAAAACGAAAGATTTGGGGCTTAGAAATGGTTTGATGATATTTTTTTTTTTTCTATGGCAGAACTTTTTTTTATAGAATTTTTGAAAACTGGTATTTTTTTTTTAAGCTTTTTTCAGAGGTAGCGCTTGTTTTTTTCACATAACTCTAGTATCTTACGTCTGGTTGTAAAGAACTTTGCTATTTTTAAAAGATAATTAAAACAGCTAGAAGTTGAGCCCAAACACTTTGTGATTACAGCTTACCGTCTGGGAAATATAAAGCATTGAAATGCAAAAATGATGATTTTTGTGCGGTATTTTTTACGAAATTTTGACTTTGAAAACTCAGGAAAAGTCGAACAAAAAATACCTTTTTGAAGGCGGCGGGCCCAACTGCCAATTGGGAACAAAGCAAACGAACAAGGGTTGTACATTTGGTACCTGATCGCGCTCCTTTGTTCCCAATGGGCAGTTTGGCCCGCAACCTTCCAAAAGGTATTTTTTGTTCTTTTTTTCCATATTTTAGGTTTGGTTAACGAATTTTAGCTCCAAAGTCTCTCCATAGATTTTAATGAGCGATACCTTAAACGACGCCAAATTAACGCACCTATACACAAAAAAATAGAGGACACAAGATATAATTATACCCGCTCAAAAAGTAGGGTTATTGTTGTGGTAAAGTGGTGTGTGTAACGCAGAGGGAAATTCCGACCCCATAAGTATATATATTCTGTCGCATCATAGCCGGTCGTATAGCCATGTCTGTCTGTCCGTCCGTCCGTCCGTCCCGTCCGTCTTGTGAGCGCCTGATCTCAGCTATAGGTAGGGTAACCAAATTTGCCAGCTCATGTGTATCACCGTCGTGACACCCCCGCCCCCCCCCCACAGGCGACGTGGCGGCCTAAAGTCGTAAACAACCAGTTCGTGGCCCTACTCCAGGCCAATCTGAATCAGTCGGATCATAATTATAGCCAGAATGAGAATTAATTCTGTTGCTTTCCCCCCCCCCCCACCCATCGACAACTCAACTCATTCCATCTCGCTCCCCCTGCCGCGTTGGTGCGCGGCAACGCCTGCGGGGGATTAGAATCTAAATGAACATGTACAATCTACTGTAGTGTAGTATACTGTTTGTGTGTGCCTATGTAGCAAAAAAATGTAAATGTAAATAAATAAAAATTATAGCCAAATGTATATACTGACTGGTCGGGTTGTGGTCGCGCCCCGGCGCTCGCACGCCTCTCTTTTTTTTTCGACTTTTCCTGAGTTTTCAAAGTCAAAATTTCGTAAAAAATACCGCACAAAAATCATCATTTTTGCATTTCAATGCTTTATATTTCCCAGACGGTAAGCTGTAATCACAAAGTGTTTGGGCTCAACTTCTAGCTGTTTCAATTATCTTTTCAAAATAGCAAAGTTCTTTACAACCAGACGTAAGATACTAGAGTTATATGAAAAAAACAAGCGCTACCTCTGAAAAAAGCTTAAAAAAAAAATACCAGACTTCAAAAATTCTTCAAAAAAAAGTTCTGCCATAGAAAAAAAACCATAATTCTTTAAAAAATTGTAAAGCCCCATATCTATCAGAAAAAGTCGGTTTGGATCCTTGAGGAAAAAAAAAGTTCGATTTTGTCGAGTAGTGTTATTAATGATTTTTAATGATTACTCCTCGGCCTCAGCGTGGGCCACCTGCACAGCCCAACGCTCATGAGACACCACTGGCTCATCATCGGCAGGAGCGGCATCATCGGCATGGACGATAGGAGCGGCATCATCGGCAGGAGCGGCATGGACGATAAGAGCGGCATGGACGACAGGAGCGGCATGGACGACAGGAGCGGCAGGGACGACAGGAGCGGCATGGACGCGGTCACGTCCACGTCCACCATGTCGACGTCCACCATGGCCGAAGTTCGCTAATACGTTCAGCATGTTCAATTGCTGAATTCGGTTGTATTCCGACTGCGACGCGTTCGCAGACGTGCCTCGGACGACGGCCTGCAGGGCCCGATTGAAGGCACGCCGATCCCTCGATGCCCTTCCCGGTCCCTGGTAGATTTCGGAAAATATACCGAAAATTCGGTATGGTAAATACTTTATGTTGTATATACTGCATTATTGGTATTGCCAGATTTAAAAAAAAAAGACAAATTCACAGTTAGTTACTTGCTCAAAAGTAAACATTGAAAACGAAACGCAACAAGCATGGAAACTATCCGGAATTATTTTAAAGCCAGTGAACGGTTCGAGCTGCAAAATATAGATTCTGCCATTAACTTTGCCAATTCCGAGCAGGGGCATATTAATGAACGTTTATTTGTGGAAAGCGTAGATGTATTACGGTCTTTCACACCATTCTTCCTCACATTTAACGAAATGCACCTCAGACAGTTCGCACCAAATGTAAGTATTTATTTAAATTATTTAAAATAAATTTCTGAGAATTTGTTAACTCAAAACAGGACGGAATATCTTCAAAAATAAAAATGTTGGTGATTGCGGCCCAAACTGCTGAGCTGAACAGCAGGTTTGCGGTGCTTCACATTGCGGTGGTAAGTGATAAATAATAAAAAGTGATAATAGCTCCTTTAAAAAGAATATTTTTAATTAACAGGCAGTCACAGAAGAAGTCATCATGGGCAGCAATAAAATTAAGGATCATGTTCAACGTGTGCTGATCCGCATTGGTGGCATACGAGTGAATGGAGAGAGTATCCAAAAAAAAATATTGGCGGTAATATGCGACGGCTGTCCAGCTAATGAAGTGGCGGTTCAGTACGCATACCATTACGCCCACATTCCTGTACTTACCGATTACACGCACTTGGATATAACGTTGTCGACCAATTACAAGTGCGCGAACAAAATATTACGTAGGGTATACAGGCAAACAATATACAAGAAAAGTTCGTGGCAGTCGGAGATGGACGCTGCAGATGCAGCTGCAGCGTTGTCGCCCCATTGGGAGTATAAGGAGCGGGAGCTTAGGAATTTAAGATTAATGTTAGGGAAATTTTTCGATTTATGCCCGTCAGACGATCTCAGTCTGCACAATACAAACAATGATGACCTGGAGACGTTCCTTCGATGCCTCCAGAGCGAAATTGTTTCATTAGCAGCCGGCCACGTACCGGAACTGAATAACATAACAAGAGCTCCAAGATTTTTGTTGCAATTTGCAGGAGTTTTTATGAAATTGCTAGAAATGAATTAATAATAATTGAATAATAATAATAATAATTGTATAATAATAATATTTCCCGTATTCTGTGTTCTTCATTTTTCAGTATATTTTCAAGTGCAGAATTGTACAAGTGTACGTGTGTGTACAAGTGTACGTGTTGTCTGCCAGACAAATGTGAAATTACGTCGATAGACGTAAAATATACTGAGTAAGTATGAAGAAAACTCAAAATATGTTCGAGCCAACGGAATCAATTCCGGTGGCTCAAGCTCGCGTAGCTCGCTCACGTGCGCACCAACAGCTGGTGGCCGCTACTGTACGTGGAGCACCCGACGAAGAGCTCGCAGCTCTTTTAGTCGTTCGCGACGAAGCGAGCCTCCACCTGTCCATTTTGATGGATCAGGAGGCACGCCGTTCGAGTGTAGCACAAGTGCCTCAGCTGAGACTAGGTACGAATACCAACAAAAATGCGCTGCTGAAATTCCCAGCGACGATATTCCCAGCACCAGCACTGGAATACGTTCTGGGCTGGAACGGGGAGTGGGCGAGGGCGTTGAGTTTTTAGCTCCATGTTCCAACTCCACTCTGCTCACTGTTCAGTTTAAGCCGGGTGCAGTGAAAACTCCCCGGGTTAAAACCACATTTAAACCCATGAAAGGGAAGCACGAGATTAATTTCTCATTCGAAGTGAACTCCAGTTCACTTCCGGGGCTTCCCCCATTAAAGTTGAAGCAATCGCGACCTAAAAGGTACGAGCAAATTTGTTACCCACCAATGCGCTATTTCGACCACAATAGTCCACCCCTGCAGCCCGATAATCGTATGCCGGGGGAATGCGATAGACGGCATCCCCTGGTGGAGAGTGCCCAGAGGCTGTTGGGCACCTCCAGGATTTAAAATGGCGCAGAGCTTACGGCATGCATGTATTATTTGTGGAGTAAGCCACAAGGTTTCCACGGAGATGCGAAAACAGCTCATTAAAGTGTGCATTGTCACTCCGAAAAAATACATTTGCCTGCAATGTGGCTATTGTGGACAATTCAGGAGACATCACAAGTGCAATAAGGCTTTGATGCGTCAAAGAAAAATGCAGTTCCTAGATGGCAATCCGATGGGACTAATTGAAATAGTCCCATTTCAATTGGCATGCATTATAGAGCAAATGCAAATGCTCGATGAACCACCACCGGAGGGTGAGGAAGCACCTTTTGAGGTGGAACCACCAGAGCCTCCCGAAGAACCACCAGAGCCTCCCGAAACTTCTCAAGAAGATCTTGAGATTGAAATGGAAATGGATAGGCTGTTTGGACAAGACTGAATAGTTTTAAAAATATCAATATGTAAAAATTCTTGAAGAAATTCATGAATTTAAACGACCGGGATGGTCGATAAAATGTAAAAATTCTTGAATTCAATTCATGAATTTAAACGACCGGATGGTCGATAAAATTCAAATATTCGCCTGCTTCGTCAATGCCTAGACCCGCGTCGAGTCGAGTCGAGTCGAGCGACAGAACACACCAAGAAAATATGAAGTCTTACGACGGGAATAGGTCCAGGACCGGATTAGCAGTTGCCTAGGGCCCTCCTAGAAATAGCAGAAAAATTTTGTTGAAAAAACAAAACTCCAAATAATGAATACAAAATATAATAGCCACTGAGAAAAATACAAAATAAAGGAGGGCCCCAGATTGATGGTTGCCCAGGGCCCGGTTGAGGGTTGATCCGGCCCTGAATAGGTCGCTACATCACATCAGCCCTCAAAACAAAACGAAAAACCAATTCAAGCGGCCAACAATTGTAGAGCCCACACACAAGCACAGTATGTGTGAATACATGGCACACACACATTTACGTAACCTGGAAACGAAACTCAAAACAAACTCAAAACGGTTTCGGAAAATAAGAATTGATACAAAATTTTGTCGTGTCTGTTTACACACATACATTTGCAATTCTCAGCTTGCTTTCGCTTCCCGACATGAGTCATACATGCCGAACGGCCCAGCTCCCGACCCGAACGTCCCAGCTCCCGACCCGAATGGCCTGGCTCCCGACCAGAGTGTCTCAGCCTCACAGAGCCGAAGCGCTGGGAGCCGGGACAGAACACTCAGCTTGTGCCCCTTTTGTTGTATGAACTGGCACATCTATATACTGTATGGTTAGTGGCTTAACCTATGTAAAAAAAACTGTGACTTCGCCAAGAGCTGACCTGCCGCAACATAAATGAGGAATGGGCAGAGTGAAAATTAGATTTGCTAAAGCTCTGGGGACGCGACTCTACTTATACCCGTTCACAGTCAGTATATACATTTTTGAGCTTATGATTTTTTAGAATCTGTATCTACGATACAGCGTTTTCAGTTTTATTGTATCTTTAAAATTGTGCCTGCCACAGATTTTCGTCTTTTGTGGGGGCGGGTCGAAATTTTGAAATACACTTGTAGCAGTGTGATATCACATGAGTCTGGAAACCAGATTTGGTTTCTCTAGCTCTTCTAGTCTCTGAGATCTAGGCGCTCATCAAGACGGACAGACAGACAGACATGGCTATATCGACTCGGCTATTGATACTTTATGGGGTCGGAAGAGTTTCGTTCTCTCTCTCCACTTTTACCACAAATCTAATATACCCTTTAACTCTTTTTTGAGTACGGGTATAAAAATACATGAAGTTGTCAGATACTTTCAAAAAGATCAAATATTAGAATAGAACAGTGATTTGGATCTATTCGCAATCAAAGCAAATCATCAAAAATCAAATCAATGGATACAATCAGAGATTATTTCCTAAATAGTGAAAATTTTCGGCACCGTCCTGCTGATATAGAATCCTCAATACAATTTGTTAATGCTGAAGAGAATAACGGGCACATACGCCGTTTTTTTTGTGGAAAGCGTAGAGATATTGCGTACGTTCTCACTGTTCTTCATCACTTACGACGAACTGCACGTGAGACAGTTTGAAACAGGTGTAAGTATGATGTTATTTAAGCATGGCTGTTGCAATTTGCTCAATATTTGTTATCCAAAATAGCATGGCATTCCATCCAGAATAAAAATGCTGGTAATTGTGGCCTATACTGCTGAGCTGGACAGCCGACTTGCAGTACTCCACATTGCGGTGGTAAGTCAAAGCAATATCATATCTGAAAGAGTATATGAAAATATTTGTATTTAACAGGCAGTCACAGAAGACATCACCATGGGCGGGGAAAAAAAAAAGCCCCCTTCCCCCTTTTTGGGGCCCCCCCCAAGGGGGGAAGAAAAAAAAAAATTTTTTTTTTAAAAAAAATTTTGGGGTTTTGCAATGCAAATGGAAAAGCGGAATTGTATTGCTACCACTACGCGCATTTGCCGGTGCTGCGGGACTACATACATTTGAAAATAATTTGGCAGAGCGGTACCTCTACAAAGACCGAGTATTGCGAAGGGTATACATGAGGAGCATTTTGAAAAAGGATACTTGGCAATCGGTGTTGGAGCAGGCAGATACAGCTGCAGCGCTGCCTCCTCACCGGGAGTACAAGGAGAGGCAGCTTGCCAACTTACGATTGGTACTAGAAAAGTTTTTCGGACTGTGCTCGTCTGACCAAATCAGCTTGCACAATGTTAACACTGATGAGTTGGAGGTGTTCCAGACATGACTGCAGGGCGAGATCAGCTTGTTAGCAGCCGGGCACGTACCGGAGCTTAAGAACGGAGAGACAGCTCCAATATTTCTTGCTAAATTTGTAGGAGCGTATATGAAGCTGGAAGGTAGTTAGGTAGTATTAGTTAGTAGTTAGGTAGTATTAATGGAAATAAATGAACTAAAAAATTGATATACCTATTTTTTTGTATTCGTTATTGATCATTAATGATAATTAATGATTTTTAATGATTACTCCTCGGCCTCAGCGCGGGCCACCTGAACAGCCCAACGCTCATGAGACACCACTGGCTCATCATCGGCAGGAGCGGCATGGACGACAGGAGCGGCATGGACGATAGGAGCGGCAGAGACGCGTCCACGTCCACCATGTCCACGTCCACTTCCAAAGTTGGCTGAGCTCAAAAGTATGCGCATCAGCGCGTGCTCCAGCGCGTAGTCCCGGCACTACCAGCTCCCTGGTAGTCGTGGTGGTGGTTGTTATTTTCAGTTTAAACGCTAAAAATTGACTATTTCTTCTTCTATTCGTATGCAGAATGGCAACGAGTGGAAGATGTAACTTTGCGATTGCAAATTTCAATATGAGCGTGTGAATATTGCACTTAATATTCCGGCACTGATTTGCTTAATTCTCCGAAAAATAGCGGGTGGAAAAATTCGGGATGATACTGATACTTGATGCATGCTTTTTGCTCTAATTTCCCCAGCAAATTCATTTACTTAACTTCTTCCTTCACTTGGCCCAGTGTTCTCAGTGCGTAGGATTCTACTCATACGATATCCCTCGCCCGGCCGCTCACCTCTAAGGCAGTCTGAAAGGGACAAATTCGAGATTGCCTGAGCCTCAATTCCCCCGGCATGTACCCTTCCGCAGGGAGAAATATTTAAATAGTTTTGCGATGTACTTACTTTTTCGTCGCAGTGCTGATGATCGTATGTAGAAAAACTATTGTATGTATATAATATAATATATGCTTTCGCAACCAACTCCTAATAGAGAAGTATAATGTTGTCTCTAGTGCTAGAAAAGTGCCAAAGCCCAATGTCATATTGCTAAAGCAGGTGTGTACTTGCAGCAAGTGTGTGTTGTGTGAGCGTGATCGCAATTGAAAAATAGTTCGCATAGTGAATAGTGAATATTAACAGTAAACATACCGAAAATGGATGCCATAGAAAATTTTTTCCGCTTGAATTCTCGTTATGTGCGCCATACTGCTGAAATAGCAGATGCGATCACATTCGTGAATAGCGAACATAGGCACATAAGCAGAGACCAATTTATAGAGGACTTCTCAGGATTGGAGGAGTTCGGACCGTTCTATATTTTAATGGACGAGTGGTACAGCTCTGAGTACGCCCCGGCCGAATGTTTTTTCGCAAACTGGAAATTTCTAGTGTTTGCGGCACAATCGGTTGACGGGAAGAAGTACAAGACGATCCACTTTAAAGTGGTTGGGGATTGAAATTATATATTCAGAAGCTAGGCGCGTAATAACCTGCTTTGGCAGAAGATCGGCTGTGATACAGCTGTGTTGCCGATGGATGCCCTGCAAATGGAAAGGCGGTGAATTATGGTTTACAGAAATATCCGTTTGTATGGGACATTACGCATTTTGCGAAAGCAAAGGCCCCGAAACAGCATGTCGATACTGTCCTGACTGCACTTTACAAAGACACGCACAGAATAATAATAATAATCCCCACAACCCCCACTGGCACCTCCTCCGGGGGCTTCCCGCGGCGATTTCATACAGCGGACGGCAGGCCTCGGGGGCCAAAGCGGGGAACTAATATTTATAATATTTTGCCAACTACTTGGATGCAGAGGCAGAGTGGAGAGTTTTGCCGTGACCGGAGAATAAAATATAAATGTAAATAAAATGTAAAAAAGCAAACAAGACATACAGAATTCGATGTTCAATGTTCAAATGGTGGAGGACAAATGATCAATCGGTTGTGGGGTGCTTCCTTTTATAGCCGCTGAATCGGCTTCGTTTTGCAAATGGCTGCCTTGCGTGTGAGCGTTACCACATTTTGGTGATGGCACTTATTGCTAGGGGTGGGCTAGTCGTTGTCTATCGTTTAATCATATTAGGATGTATTTCTTATTTTTCAACGCTCTGATTTCTTAGATTCTCAGTTCGGTTCGTCGCTATTTCAACCCCAAGATAAACAAAAATTTGTAATTTCGTACTTTATTACTTATGGCCTTTAATGACATTTAAATCGTCTCGCAAATGATATCATAAAAGGCCACCAAACGATTCGTTTTCGAACTATCGAAAATAATTTTACTGACACAAACTAAGCGATCAGTGATTTATTTTGATCGTTTTGGATCTTAAAACAATAGTTTTACATGCTTGAGTGTTCCGTAGCTCTCATTAGCGATATCGCTTATGAAGTCTTTGTTCACTGGATACCAAATGTATCACCTTTATTTACAATGAAACGTCACGAACAGATCAATGTACATATATGTTTTTTTATTGCTAATATGCCCGATCGATTAGGCGACGATGTGTCAGGTGCGAGTGCTACGTCAAGACTCTCGTAAGGGCAGGCGGACCGAATTGCCCGTGCCCTAATGCAAGCGAGAGAAAGATAGATGAAGAGAGCGATAGCGAAGACGAAAGAAAGACGAAAGCTAGATCAGCGATGCCCAGGCCCAGGCCCATTGCCCACGGAGCCCATTTGTTTTTGTAATTGCCCTCAGCATAGGCAAACAATTCTTTTATGCATACACAGTTTGTGCTGTGTACCAACATACCGAAAGCCCAACACAAGCAAACATCACTGTGTGTATGCGATCCGTCCAGCAAAAACCGGTTTTGTCTCTTCTCTGATTCGCTCGCAAGCAAAAATTACGGTAATTTTTTTTGCCGCACACGATTTCAATGTGTTTTTGTTGTTGTCTTTTCTTCGAGTTTGCACTGTTCCCTTATTGGTATTTGTGTTTTTGTTTGGGAGTATTGGTGAGTGCCCAGCCGTCAGCTTGCTTTGGGCATCGCTGAGCTAGATGCATATATAAACCGCGATTCGTGTTTATATATGCGAGGAAAGAAAAGTGCGAGAGATTGCAAAGGCATGCAAGTGCTAGAGCAGATCATGACCATTGCGAAGGCATGTTAGGGCAGACGGACCGAATTGCCCGTGCCCTACGCGATGCTACGAAATGAGAGCGAGGGAGTGTTCGAGAGAACGAGAGAGCTGATAGATCGAGAGAGTGATTTCGAAGGGCGATAGAAAGAAGGTGCAAGACGAAGAGACGAAAGAACGGTTGAAACGGCTATTAAAGTGAGGGGGCGGGTGTAGATACATGTCGATTACAATAAGGTACAGTGGGCAGCGCAAATAACGAAAAAATAACAGGATTTACTTTAAAGCTGCACCACTGACTAAAAATACTGAATAATGCTCGGCTGGGAGACCGAACAGATGGGTTAGCGAGATTTCGCTACTTTTTTGTTGCTAAATGTTCGTAAACGGACTCGGATAAAAGCCTTTAGGGAACAAAAGCGACATATGTATGTATATGTATGTATCTGTCCCCCTCATGACATGACCAGTTTGTACTCACTTTTTAGTCCGTGTGCGATAGAAAATCATTATTTATCGTTTGGTTTCGGCTTCGTCACCTCGGTCGAGTCGAGCGACAACAAAATATGAAGTCTGACAAAGGGAAGAGGTCTAGGGCCGGATATTCACTTGCCTACGGGCTCACCTCGGCTCTAAAACTAAAAATGCATGCCAAGAATTATTTTTCTTTCGACTTTTCTCGAGTTTTTAAAGTAAAAATTTTGGGAAAAATACCGCAAAAAAATTATGAAATTTGAATTTGAAAGCTGAATATCTTCCAGGCGTTAAGCTGCAGATACGAAAAGTCTAGGTCGGATTTATAGCTGCGTTTGTCAGCTTTTCAGAGCTGCAAAGTTCTATGCAACAAGATATAAGATACTAAAGTTATGTGAAAAATAGAAGCACTACCTCTGAAAAAACCAAGAAAAAAAATACCAGATTTTAAAAATTCTTTAAAAAAAGAGCACCATAAAAAAAAAAATAAAGTACTACAAAAATTTGTAAATCCCGAAATCTATCAGACAAAGTCATTTTGGTTCACAGCCTAAATCAAAAGTTCAATTTTGTCGAGTAGTGTAATTGGAGCCGGAGCCTCAGCCTTCCATGATGGAATATACTGTATGCTCTCTGCATACTTTTAGGGTAAGATTTGTAGGGTTACATTGGGCATTCGTTTAAATTTCGAGGGAAGTATCAAAGCTTGGAAAAACAACTCCAAGGCAAATAAAGATCAGATATCGATATGTTAATTTGATACCCATTCTATTTGAGTAATTAAAGGTAGGTAGGTACATGCATACACATTTGGAGACATACATAAACATAAACGATAATTCGACTTAAAAGTAACAGCTAAAATTAAACATGAAATGGCATTAATCAAGTATACATATATGCAGGTATATATAACATGGAGTGAGTGTCGTCTTAAGGCTATATCAGATGGATCACAATGCCACTAAGTAGTATTGTTTTGTCTAACTTAAGCTAATCTGGCTGCTCCGTTCTGCATCTCTCGCCCGTCTAATATCGTCGCTCCTCCTCCTTCTCATTCAATGCGGAAAGCGGCTGATAGCTGGGATTGGAGAACGCTTCTGTGTTGCTGCTGCTGCTGCTGCTGCCCCCACCACCGCCAGTTGTGGGCTTACTGACGAGATTTTTACGCGGCGGCTTCACATTCACATAGTTCTCGGCATCGCCATTAAGTTTCGTCTCCACGTGGTGCCGTGGCGATGGCTTGGGCGTCACATATTGCTGCTTTAGCGCCTGATTGAAGCGTCGCCCCTGCTCCGGACTCGGCTCCCCATCCGATGTTGATGTGCGATGGAGCATGGGTATCTCCTCGGGCGCCTGATCGGCGGCATCCACCGTCGGCAGGCCGTTCTTCTTGCGCAGCGGCTTGTGTAGACTGCTGTTCATATTGTTGCTAAGCGTCGGCGAGTGCTGTCCCACCTGGCCGACCTGTCCGGGGCGTTGTCCTTGGGCTGGTGTGGCATCTGAGAAGGTGAAAGAGGTGTCGGTTGTTTGTAGCGGTGAGAAGTCAGCAAACTCTGTGAAATTGGCTGTTGGTGCCATATCATCGCCATCGAGGCGTGTGGGTGAATAGATGGCGGTGCTGGTATCGGGTGGGCTGCTGCTGCTCATCGCCTGATAGTCATCGGGCAGCTCCTCGATTCCTGTGCGGGGTTAGTTCAGTGTTTAGTGTGTGCGCAAAATGAGTGTGTGTATCGTGTGCAAATGGAGGTTAGTCAGCTACACCCCCAGCCCCCAGCCCCCAGCCCCCAGCCAGGCATCAATACTCACGTATATCGGGCACTATATGGCCATTCACGTAACGCGGTGCCGCCGGCGCCAGTTCATCGGGGGAGCCCATGAGGGCCAAGTAGTCTGTGGACTGATTCTTCATGTACTCCATGTTCGTTTGCATATACGGATTGTTAAGGTCCAAATAGTGCTGCAAAGAGAGAGATTTCTTATTAGAATTTCTTGTATTTAGTTTGGGTTTATTTTTCGTTGCCTACATTGGCCACATCCTCGCCCAGCATGGTGGCAAAACGCTTCTCCAGCTCAGCGAACAGGGGTCTGCTCTCAGGACTGCAAGCACAAATAAATATGAATACAGTATGCCCCATTTGGGGTTTGCTTTCGGCGCTTACTTCTTCCGCCAGCACTCGAGCATGATCTCGTAGAGCTCTTGATTGGCATATGGCGGCTTTTCCATGCGATAGCCATCATTGAGCTTGTTGAACAGCTCCTGATTGGGATCTATGCCCGGATATGGCACCTTGGCCAGCGAGAACAGCTCCCACAGCACAATGCCAAAGGACCACACATCGCTGTAAGTACTGAACACATGATCACTGAGAGATTCCAGCGCTAGCCATTTGATGGGCAGCTTGCCGCTCTCTGTAAACAAAATTTATATAGATTAAATAACTGCCAGGTATATCGAAATAGTTGCCACCCACCTGATTTCTTGTAGTTATCGCCGCGATACATGGAACGTGCCAGACCAAAGTCACAGATCTTCACCACATTATCCTCGCACAGGAGTATGTTGCGTGCTGCCAGATCGCCATGCAGCACCTTCTTGGAGGACAAATAGTCCATGCCACGTGCCACCTGAAAGGCCCAGCTAACGAGATCCGTTGTTGTCACCGTCATGGCCTCCGTGGAGTCTGTCTTGTAATTGGAACGCCAGGCGGGCTGTATCGAATTGTTGGACATTACATGTTCATCTGCGAAATAAATCATAGATCACTCAAGGTTGGTTCTTTTTGCTGTGTGAGGTGTGAGGTGTGGCTCTTACCCTCTGGCACTGTTGTCATCACAGTGGCTTCTGTGGCACAGGTGTCCGTCTGACGATCGTAGCTGTAACCAGCGGAGCCCGGCCGACCCGCACGCGTGCCCGAACGTGGATCGTTGTCCGAATTTCTGCGATGATTTTGCGTATAATTGTTGTTTACGGAGTTCATGTGATTGGTATACGGATGGTTGGGGAAACCGACGTTAGCATATTTCAAGCCACCAGCACCACCGCCACCGCCACCATTTATATCGCTATTTAATTATGCATCCACAACAGAGAGACACACACACACAGAGTGAGACACATAAAGAGCATAGAGCCATGGAGACATGGAGCCATGGAGCAGTGAGTTAGGATGCCACAACCAGGGAGGATGATCACAAGAACAGGCACAATCAGGGTGTGTAGGGAGTGTGTGTGTGTGTGGGGGGTAAAATGTTGTATTAGATTGTGTTTCGGTGTACAATTATTTGTTGGTTAGTTTGGAATTTTGTTGTTGTTTGGTATGTTATTAGAAACAAAACAGAGAGAGAGAGAGAAAGAGAACAGAGAGCAGCCGTTAGTAAGCATCTCATATAAGTACAACATAGTACTGGGGTGTTAATCATTCCACATAAACATAGTTCTAGTTTAGTTGTAATCAAAATATAAATATAACTCACCGATTTAGCTCAAAGTTTTCCGACACCCGTTGAATCATAATTGCCGGATCGATTCTATCGTTCACGAGACTTATTTGATTGATAAAACACTTGCGATTACGAAGCAAAAAGTTTTGCACATTGCCAAAGCGACAATATTCCACAATGACCATCAGTTCACCTGCTCAAAGTAGAAATATAATTGAAGTGGGGAGGATGGTTGAGGCTTCTTTCTGGTGCACTCACGCTTTGCTATATTTTTGGTCACTGCACCCAGCAGATTAACCACATTCAAGTGCTGGCCCAAATGCACCATGATCTTTAGCTCGGAGACCAGGGCACGCACCACCTCATTGTCGGCGGTGCGTTTGACCATTTTGACGGCCACCGTAGAGGTGGGTTCATCGGCGCGTATGCCCTTGGCCTCGCCCTTGAGCACCACACCAAAGGCGCCGGCGCCCAGCTGTTTGCCCAGCTTCAAGCTGTCGCGCGGGAACTCAAATTCGCGATTGTAGGGCAACAGATCCGCCTGCTCGTCGAGCGAGAGGGCGGGATTTATGTGATCCACAGCACCCTCCTCGAAGTTGGCCAAACCGGCCAACTTCAAGGCCAAGTGTCGTTTGTGTTCCTTGTGGTAGCGCACCGCCAGAAAGGCGCACAAGCTGATGAGGATGAGGAAGAGCAGGACACCAAACCAAATCCAGGCTTTGTTAATTCCAGGCATATCTGTGAGAATCAATTAGGGAGTGAGAATCATTCACAAGAGTAAGGAAAAGAGGGGAAACACCCACCAGCAATGACCACCGTGATGGAGTTCTCAATGCTGCCCAAACGATTCTCCACCAGACACCTGTAGATGCCATCGTCATAGGGATACAAATGGGTGATGAGCAGCTTCTCCTGGTCGTCAATGATGTGCGTGAGATTTGTTTCCCGCAGCTCCTTGCCATCCTTGAACCAGCGCACATTCGCCTGCGGCACGGCCATGGAGCGGCACTCCAAGGCCAAAGATTCACCCAGTTTCTTTTCCATCTTCGAATTGGCATTCAGATTGGTGTGCACCCACTGCGGTGCCTTGGGATCGTGAACATAGACATCAATCTCCCGACTGTCGTACTCTCTGGGGTGGAGTATGTGATGGGCGCGGCACTCGTAGGTGCCACGATCTCCGTCGCCCATCGATGGGAACTTCAACGTGCTCTTGTAGGAGTAATTACTGTGGCTCGTTTGTATCAGAAGAGCTGTGAACAAACCAGAAGAGATCAGGCATTGGCTGAGAGTTAAGAATGAGTGCCGGCATACCCTCTGATGGCTCCACCTCCTCTCCATTGTGATACCACTGCAGATTGCCATCGAAATGGTAGGCCAAGGCCTCGCAAGTGAAACTCTCCTCATCCCCTTTGGCAATTTTTCGATGCTCATCCAGGCCGTAGATGGTCATGTTCTCCGCTATGTTACCCATCAGCACATGGGACTTGGTAATGGCCATGCGCGGCACACCGTCCACCAGATTCTGCGCCACGCAGGAGAGTATGCCCGGCTCTGTGGGTGTAAAGGACACGGCATAGATGCGTTCCACAGTGAGTTTGCCCGGCCGTGGCTGCACATTGAACTGTGGATAAGCAGAAGGAGTTTAAGAACCATACTAAGCAGCGTTAGGTGGCATTAATTGTATACCTTAAATGCCTTTTGGACATCGGGTGACTACATGCATGAGAGACAACGACACAAGACAACACACACACAAATGTGACAGTTAATATTCGAAGCAAAACACCAAAGGTACTCCGCCCACCAGATCTCAGATACTTACACTGAAATTCTGATTGAGTGTGGCACAGGTGGGCCAACGCGGCACGAGAGTGCAGGGCCTGAAGAGAAAGGTAACCACCGCTGGGGGAAAGGATCGCACAAGGCAATCCAAATGCGCCTCATTGCCCGCCTGTACATAGACATCCTCCATGCTGAGCTCTGGCGAGGACATCACGCTCACATTGTACTCCAGCGACCGGGTGACATTGCCATTGGTGCCCTTGAGGACATACGTGCCGCTGTCCTTTAGCTGGGCGTTGTGCAGCCGCAGCGTGGTGCTCGACTCCTCCGATACAATGTTGAAGTTGTGCTCCGCCTCCCAAATTTCACTGCCATCGGGCTTGTACCACTTGAAGCTGGGCTGGGGATAGCCACCGAATTCCGCGGTCATTGTGATCGTACGATTGGCAAACTCATTCACATTGTAGTGGCCAGCGGGCTCTCGCACATCCAAATAGCTTGAGTTCGGTTCTGTAAATCAAAAATTGAATTTAATTTAAGCTGCTACTAAAAAATGGCGCCCAACTTACGCATAACTTTGATCTTGTAGGTGATGAACTGGGGCCGATCAAAGCTATCGGTGACAATGCATTTGTAGGGACCCTCATCGGTTCGTTGGACTTGGGTCACCGTCAACTTGCTGCTCCCCACCACATGGGTGTTGTTCTTCATGGTGTTGTCGAAGCGCGGCTTTGTATAGGTAATCCGACCGGCAGCATCCAGATGGTAGGAATCCTCGTGCAGTGTCCACTTCTCCCTGTTGTTGGGCGTGCTCCAGGTCATGTCATAGTTCACGCCCTGCGGCGCAGACAGCTCACAGACCAGGGTGAATGTGCCATTCGCATAGACATGATTCCGTGCAGTGGAGCTGATCGAGGGCTTATTCAAGCGATCATTCGCTTCTGTATCATCATATAGTAGAGAGTTTTATGTTATTACATGGCACTTGGGTTACTCTTTGGGGGTCTTGCAAGCATTTCTACAGCGCGATATTCATGCATTTATGGAATGGGATTAGTTATAGACATGGACACACAAAACTACATTAGGATTGGGATTAGAAACATCGTCAAGCAGTTAGTTTGTGTTACTCTGTACATGGCTTATAGGTATAAATTAGCTGGTTGGTTTAGTCAACAAATAATACAGTCCATAAACCAACAACGAGCAATTCCTCGGAACATAAAGTGCAAAGGGATCGTACAACAGCAAGGACATCCAACAAAGCATAGCAACACTTACGCCCTAGATTTGGCGAGGGCGATGGACTCATCGATGCCAGCAGACGCACTGGACTACGCTTATGACGCAATGCATTTAATTTTGAGCGATCATCGGATTGAGTTTCAGTCTCAGATTGATTACGACCAAGCCCAGCACCAGAGTTTAGAGCCACATTACCCATTTGTGTTGTGTTAGTTAGTGTAGTGAGGAAATCATCATCATTCTCTACAATATCATTATCTGCAGTAACCTCCGTCGCAACAACGTTGTACTCATCGACAACGTACTCTGTGTTAGGCGGCAGAATGGTGGTATCCAATCCAGATGCTTGGGAGGAGTTAGCAGATTAAATGACACACAGTGGGGAAAGTTTTTGGGGGGGGGAAATAATCAAAAGAGAAAGATATAGTGAGAGAATAGTAGAGAAAGAAAGACCATTTTGTTAGCACAAAGAAATGCAATCGTAGATGCAGTGTTTCGGTGTTCATGTGTGTGTTTTGTCTCAACTGTACCAGAGTTCCACACGGGCAGCATTCATGGCAGTGCTGCTCAAAGTTTACATAAGCAAAAGGACACATTTGTTGTGATTGAAAAGCATCCACCAGTGAAGTGATTGGCCCATAACAAGGACTATAAAATACCAATTAATTGCAGCGGGCAGAAATTCCATTTAAAATTTTATTCCAAGTTTCCTGGAAGGTGCTTCAATGCTCTCTTGGGCTTAGCCATCGACTCCCTAGAATCGCCATAGAACATAGAATTTTGGTGCCACATGCAACATGTTGTGGTTATTTTATAGTCTTTGCAGTCACTCCGCGAATGTCCTGCTAATGGAACTATGGCAAAAGATACAGTGACTTGTGTGCGTGTGTGTTTGTGTTTGTTTCTATGATATTGTGATAGTGCATTGATATGGATATAATTTTGAATGGTTTCGCCATTAGATGACGTCCTTGAACCATATAGCCACAGGTAAAACCACCAATAACCGATAATCGTTAACCGAAACCACCTTTCCAAAGGTATAATCGATAATTATCAAATCAAAAAAGTAAAAAAAAAATAAAGAGGCAATAGATTGAAAGCAATATTTACGACATGTAGTATATACGTATATAGGGGAGACAGAAATCACAAATCACGAAACTTTGGGGTGCAAAAACTCACTATCAATGTGACCGTTACCGATAAAGCGCACAACTATGACCGTGTTCTCCTCTTCATTCTCAGCGGCAGGGTGCTCCGGCTCACAATAATACTCCCCACCATCGATGATGCTGCGTATTTCGATGGTGAAGCCACGCTTGGGATCGTAACGACCAGAGGTCTTGCTGTAAAATATCTACACAGGGATTTTCAAAAATGCGTCAGAATATTAGATTTAACTCAAAAGAGAGAGAGAACTCAAGAAGCAACAACTTGGTCTGTATATCTTCCCCCCCTTCTAATGTTTCGCGGTGTTTTTTGGACTCTAATACTTGGATTATTATGTAATATATTTAAGATACTGTTGGATATATATATATATAGTATGTATTTTGTATATACAATTGTTGGCAAAACTACGGAGTAGAACAGACTGTGTGTGTGTGGCACATACTTGAGTAGTGTATGTCGAACATATCGCCGTGACAGTAGATGCTCGGCGGTGGCTTCGCAATGATATGCAATGTGAAGCCCCAACGGGCATCATAACTTGAATTATGATAGAAGCTTGGCAACCCCAACAGAGCGGGACGTAGTGAGCTGATCTGCTCCTTCGTATTATTCTGTGTGCATCAGAGAGAAAGAGTAAGGAAAGATCAGTGTTGGTCCAAAGGCAAGGCAAAGGTCCAGAGGACTGCTCTCTAAGCCACTACTTTTGTGGATGGGAGGGGGTGCTGCATGAAAAGGGGAAACTCCCACACTCACATCTCCATTGAATGTCAGCAGCACTTCCGTTTCGGGCATCGAGGGCTTGCAGGGTATCACCACATCCGTGTACTGGCGGGCATGTACAATGGGTCCCGTTGGCACCAGCAGGGTATTGGGATCGTTGACAAACACATATATGGTGCTGCCAAGATCGTCGTTCACCATTTCGCCGAGCATCTCGCCCAGCTTCTCGTCGGTGCTGCTTTTGAGGCGCCCCGCCTCCGACTCCTTGATGCAATAATATGCACCCACATTTTCCGCCGACACCTCGATCAGGTGCAACTGCAGGCCATACGGACGCTGGGGATCCTCCTCCGTATTGTCGAAGCTACTGACCAGCGGCCTTTCGTGACTCGCCCACCAAATGATCGGCTCACTGCCCTCACAGCGCAGCGTGTAGTTGGTACTGTATTCCAGCTTGATGGATTCCTTGCAGGGCGTTATCAGTGGAGCGCCATTATCACCTCCACAATTGGTGGATACCTCGTTATCCTCCAGCTCGTATTGCGGGCGAGGCACTAGAACACACAAAAAAAGAGAGTCACATTAGACGATTTCTTGTACAACTAACTGTAAAGATCTCTCTGCATCGTAACAAAAACATTGTTCAAATGTTTTTTTCGTATTTTCTTTATCGTTTGCCGGGTACATTCTTCCCGTCCGCTCCCCCTCCATGGCTCCCTTCCTCTGCCCAGTGGCGCTATTGTAATGAACTTAAGTGATTTGCGATTGAGCGGCGACGCTCTTGAGCTGCATCTGTATGCAGAAAGAGCGTGAGAGAGAGCAGGGGCGTGGAAGAGGGGTTCGGGTTTGCATTGAAGACTTTTAAAGGGGATTCAGTTGGGGTCTTTAAATATCTCAGAATTGATTAATTGATTATATATCTATTATAGATAGACGATATTTATTTATTTTTTATTTGCCTATTTTTAGAAGAAAATCCCTTCTTTTAAGAACCTTCTATTTTATTCTCTTATCTTTTAATATCTCAAATTTCTTAGAGCAATAAATAATGAAAATATACTATACTATATACCTACATATACATACATATGCCTATGTACATATGTATCTACGTAGAAGAGTGTTCCTTTACCCATCATTTGTAAGGGGAGAATTCTAGTACTTTTATGTGGTATGACATGTTATTTCTGATCTTTAAATATCCCAAATTTATTAGACTTAATTTATGTAACTCCTCACGATCGAATAAACTTACAAAAAAATATAATAGCAAATATATGGGTTTTCTCTCATTTTGTAAACTAAATCCCTTTGGCTACACCCCTGTTTCCCGCTATAGCTGCCTGCTACTGCTTTATTTCTTTTTCATTTTCATTTTTGTTTTGTTTTTTGCTCCAGAATCAATTATTTGTTTACTGGCGATAACAATTGAGCCTTGCCTTGCCTTTGCCTTCCCTTTTGCTGCCTCTGATACTGGCTGGAATTATGTACATGCATATGTACATATGTATGTACGAGTATGTATGTACGTTCTCAGCCTCAAGACGACGACAATTGTAATTCGAGTGGAGGGTACACAAACATATACTATGTATAAATGGGGAAGGGGGAGTAGATCATATGATCATTTAATAGTATCTAATATATTTCTGGACTTATTTGTGACACTTTTATGAGTGTCTTTCAAATGAAATTTGGTTCTTTATCAAGCGCGGGTTCAAGGTTCACAATTGTGTCTAGTATTTCAGATGTGGAGCCTGCGGCTTCTGTCTGCCAGAGCGATGGAGAGATTGGAGAGAGAGCCGCACAGTCCACATAAATTATACAGAATGTCTGGCCATTTGACAGGAAGCGAATCGTGTGCCGACACTTGTACATATAGTCACTTGATATGTATACGAATGTTTACGTATATACTCGTAATCCCACACGAATGTATAATACTTTTAATTGTGCAAATTGAAATCGTTAGCGTACACTGTTTTTATTTTGTTTTTTAATATTTTAACGACCCTTTCACTTATCAATTCCAGTGAAATGTTGCTGCGATAATCTGGGAATTTCTTGAATGGAGGGGGATAAGCCCCCCACCCGTATGTAAATGCAAATCGTACTTACATGCATCACTCCACGATATCCAAATGAGTAAGGGAAGCCAGCAGCAGACCACCAAATTGTGGGCCAATCGCATATTTGCACTTTTTGCTTAATTTGTTTGTTATTTGGGGTTTTTGTGTTTTTAAATATTAAGCTAATTTGATACGACTATATTTAGTATATATACGAGATATACGTTAACACATTTGGCCCAGTAATGCCATGGTCACGCCTGGTGTTCGGTCACTTTGCTCACTTAGCGATGCACTGAAAGAAATCAAACGGTGGATGACATTTTCTTAGAGTTGGATAACAAAAATATAAGAATATTTTTAATTAAACATTTTTGTGGTTCTTTTCACGCTATAATATTATATATCTAAATGAAAAGGTTATGTAAATTAAATATTGAGTTTCTTTGCCCGAAATTTTGTCACTTTAAGGATTTAATTTTGAGAGTTTCTTTTACGTTTTAGATTTTAGACACGCACTAGGAGAGGATTAAAAAGAGAAAGTTGGTTGAGATTTGTTATAGTTCTCATTTTAAATTGATTGATTTATATATAATTTATTATTATTTATTAATTAGTAATAGAGATCCATTTGTTTTAGTTTTCATTCCAAATGATTTATTTCTTATTCATTTTTATTTATTTTAATTACTTTTTAATCAAACAATCAGTATTCTTAACCAAATTGAAATTTGTAATAGCATTTCTGTACATTTTTTTTCCGATTTCATTTTCATGTTTTCATTTTTTTCTTGCTTTTTTCCTTCAAATGAATTAATTAATTTTTCTACATGAAAACAGTCTTTCCGCTTGGATTTATCCGCTTTTTAGGCACACACCAACTGCATAATCAACCAGAACGGACTGAAACTTGGCGCTGGACGGTCGATCCATATCCCGAACGGAGTCTCGAGCTCGATAAGACGCGCCCTGTCCCCTCCCTTGCACGCTGTTTCTGTGCTTGTTTATGCCTTTGCATTCATTCAGATGTCCGTTACAGTGTGAAATGCTTGATAAAGACCATCCAGAAAAACAAAAACAAAAAGCACAGAAATCAGAATGAAGAGAAAACAAAAACAAAACAAAACGATTCTCGGTACGAGCAGCCAAAGAAAATGCCCATTGCTGGAACTGAACCCGGTCGGTTACTCGGCGGGAGTACGCGTAATCTGCCAAGCAGAAGCATCGGTCGCCAGTTATCAAATTCGTAGCTGGGGCTATCAAGAGAAGAAAAATACATACATGCGAGTACTTAAGCGCATAAACAAAAACAGAGATCGGGAGAGACAAGAGCAAGAGCTCGAGATCTGGGCTCTGGGCTGGAGAAGAGCTTCGCTTCGCTTCGCATTGGATATTACGCATACGAAGAGTGTGGCAAGAAGTTGGATTGGGAAACGGTTGGGGAGATCTTCCACTCGAAATACAATATTTCTGTGTCACTTCCGCATTGGGGAAGAGCATCGAGCACCGAGCATCCGGAGCAAAGTTGGGGGGAGGCAAAAGCCACACCTATAAGAGAGCTGGGAGCTGGTCCTCTGGCAACAGGTCAGGCCATAGCTCAGGCCATAGCTCAGTGTCAAAAGTGGCCACACATGGTGGCAGGGGGTAGCTACTCGGAGCAACTAAATGACAGCGAGACATGCACAATTAAACAAGTTGACTAACCGTCGCCAGCCATCGTTTGCCCCGCAATTAGAGCATGCCCCATGGCTGGCTGGACTGGATTGAACTGGACTGCTGTGTCGCCTGTGTCGTCTCTCTGCTGATGGGCAACTTCCTGTGGCCATGTCGTTAAAATATAATCCTCCTACTGCCACAACACAACACAGCACTGCGCAGCGCAGCAAGACAACAAGTGTCCTTAGTCCCCATCTGGACTTTTGACATCAATAAACAGGAATTTAATTTCAGGGCGCACCTCAAAAGTGCCAACCCGAACACCTCCCCCATCTTACCATCTTGATGACATTCAAGCCTAGCTAACACCCACTGACAGTGGCCAAACATACAGACGAGGCATATTGTGGCTAATTGCCATTTGGCCAGCAAATAAAAACATTTATCTTTGTCAGTCATACTCGCAGTAGCCACTGGCATGGATCTGCTGTCGTTGACTGGACTGGGGGTCAGTGCAACAAACACGAGTCCATCCCAGGCACAACAACGTCTTTCTCTGGTCGTTGAGGCGTTTATCGGCTAATTGAAATTACTTTGGTTTCGCCTGTCCGCGTCCCCCCAGCCCATGTCTAATCCTTGGGCACTGGGGCTTAGGCATCGACGCTCTCGAAGAAGCCAATCAGCTGGCAAATATTGACAGGCCTGGCAGGGAGGAAGGTTGGAGCCACTAATCACCTGAGGAGAGCTGCAATAAACACACGATGAAAAGGCAGACAAAAATTCTGTTGGATGGGGAGAAACTTTAACTGTGGCACAATGGGATACACGTTGATGGGATACACTTTCAGAGGAGATGATAGCTTAGTTTGAGAGCTCTAAGTACGTATACTTGATTTATTTCTTTCTTTTTTATTTATTATTTCTAGAACTATTATTATGACAGCCACTGGTTGATATATATATCTTGGGGAAAATCAATAAAGAATCTTTAAAATATTTATTTTATGGTTTCTAAGGGTACTAAAATGGCCGCCTAAATCATATTGTTGAGGAAATGTATACTAGCTTTTGGAATATAACTTTCCTAATGGAAATATAAATAGTAAGATGAATAGCCAAATTTTTCAGGGCGGCGTTTGAAAGTTCCCTTTTTTGTGAAAAATTCACTGCAGCCCGGCCACTGTCTCGTATCAATGTTAATTGTTGCTCTTATTTATGGAAATTCCTAGTTTAGTTATTAATTTATGTACACGTATTTGATCGACTTAATCAGTTAGTAAATTCTTTTCAATTATAGTCGAATCGCTAAGAGCTTTGGCATGTTTGAAATTCATTTGGATAAAAGCTTTCGCTGAAATGTTTCCATCGTGCAATCCCCGAGATATCATAGCCGATACCTGCCGTTCCCTTTGGTCACTATCACAGATTCTAATCTCTTCAACTCACATACCAAACAGTTTTTATGTATTTTAAAGTTCAATTGGGTAAAAGCTTTTGATGAAAATGTTCCCCCAGACAGACATCATAGAGTATGCATCGAAGGCACATAAATGCTCGTAAAGTTTGCTTGCTTCCATTACCATTACCCAGCTTCACATCGGAGCCCCCCACTCACTCCAATGCCCAGTAGCGGACAACCGATCAAATGTGTCTGGCAACATGTTGCACAAACCAGACAGGCCCCAACCCCCAATCCCAAGAGGTGGGGGGAGAGCTGGAGCTGGAGCTGGGACCGTCACGTCACTCTTGCCTTCGAGTTTCTGTTGTCGCACGAATGTTTGTTGTCATGGCGACACGCCCACAGTGCCTCCTCTCAAGGGCGAATCGCATAGCTCAGTTTTTTCTTTCTTTTCGTTGCTCCTGCGATTGTAGGCTATTTATATCTTTGCAACAGTTTGCTTTTGTGGCTTGGTTGCAGCTCCTCTTCTCTTTCTCCCCCTATCTCTCTCTCTCTCTCACGTGCCCCGCGTGACGCAAATTACAGGAGACCCCTAATTGCAGGCCCAGCTGCTGCCTGCCCCCAGGCCCCTTTCAGCGCAGATATTATTTCTGATTGTTTTTTACCTACTGGGTCGTGCAATCATCCCGGGGACGGGACTCTTAATGAGAAACAGTGCTGTGGGTTGTTGAGCTATCTTTAAGAACATATTTCTGCACTTAGTCAGCGGCGATTTACCACTCAAAATATTCTGAGTCAACGCTTTCGTTTGTTTATTGAATGCACAAAAAATTATAAAGAATTTCTAGAGCTATCTTTCGTCCACATGTTTGAATAAGCGCCAGAAGATTCCACTTAACTTTTCTGCCACGAAAAGTGGGAAAGTGGGACTTTCACACTCTCTCTGGGCCTCTGGGTTTGGTTTCTTAGATGTTTAGCCGATAACCGATTGAGGTAATTTATCCAAGTCTTTCACAGAGTGATGTAGAATCATTTCTTCAAGTATCTACCAACTCGGAACGAGAGAGAGGAGAGAGAGTACTATTTAGGTCGATCCATGGTCTCGACATATATCGATATTTAACATATGTTTATCACAGAATTGTTTATGGCCCCATCGTGTCGAATCGTATAAAGTATGGCATGAGCGGAATGACGTCATTCCATGGTCGAGTGCCTGCGGCCTGAATTCATTCATTCCCTCACTCCCTCACTCGCTCGCCAATGTCCAACCCACCCAGCTCCTGCTCCACCTCCTACTTCCACTCATGTATGACGTATTCACTCACGTTTGCATTACTCCCCATGTAAATCTGTTCACATAAGTGACAATATTTGCGTATTAATTAAACGGCGACGCGCCGCACTCAAGCGGCAAATAAAATTGAGATATAATCGTGCATATATATGTACATATAAATACTATAAGCGAGAGAGCATGTATGTACATATATGTAATCGAATATGTACTTAGTATTCAAACTGTTTTAATGAATGCATTTTAGTAAGGGGCGATATGTGCGGTTGAAGGTGAGGGTAGGGGCCTTTGAGCAACTGTCTATGGGTTCGATCAAGTACAGCTGTTCTTTATACTAAAGAAAAGATATTTTGACGCTTAAGGAAAGCTGCTATAAAAGGAACAAAGTGCTGCTTTGGGGCTCAGAGAATACTCTGAAAAGGAATGCATTTATTGGCCCATTTTGAGGGGATTTGCAATTAAATCTAGAGATTTACAGCAGTATCGGCAGGGAAGGGCAGGGCAGAGATAGGGCCGTGTCGATCACTGATCTAGAATGACGTACATTGTTGTTGACAGTCTCAGTGTCAATATTTACCCAGAATTCCTCATTTTCTACAATTAAGTTACGACTTAAGCTATGAGTAGCTCAAAACCTAAATCTTCCAATCAGAGCTCGAGAATGATTCCATATTTTGGTGGATTTAAAGGTGATTCATGATTCAAGAAGTTGAATATGTATTAAAATAAATCTTTTAAGGTTTCTTGCTGGATATAAATGCGAATAAAACCAGAAAGAAGCCCGTGAGTCAGTAGATTCAAAGTTTACACTTAATAATTGATATCAGTGCTAGAGAACAATACCATATCTGGTTCGATTCATTATGGATCCATACGTCATGAATGTACAAATTAATTAAAATTAATTTTAATTGATTTCTTGATGGTCAATAATTATTATAGA